AAGATAATTTCGGGTAGCAGCAGATACTGTGAAGAAATTGAAGCAGAGGAATGAGATCCGGGGTGGTATATGGCTGCGCTAGAAGCCATGGCCAGGGAAGACCTCCCCAGTTGATGGTTAAGCTGAGGCCTACATGATGAGAGGCAGCCAGCTCTGTGAAGATCTAGAGGAAGAGTGTTCCAGATGGAGGCAAATGCACAAAGAGCATTGAGGTGGGAGAACTTGGTGTGTTTGAGGAACCAGAAGCAGACAGTAGCTAGAAAGAGGAGTGAGGTTATTTCAAGGGATGAGCAGGGCGAAACTGTTGGATGGAGTCATTAGTGTATATTAAGTGTGATAGGAAACCACTAACGGGTGTTAAGCAAGGGAATGGTGGAACCTGAATCATGTTCTCAAGAGATCCCTCATGGATGGCTGCACCATCGTTCCAGATGCCCGGGCCACACACCTGGGGAGACCTCTGTCCCGTCGGTCAGAAAACTGCCCAGTGCACCTTTTAAGGATCTTTGGAACCCATCTGTTTCTCACCTCACTACCACCAGTACTCTAGTCAGCGTCACCATCCCCTCTTGCCAGTATTCCAGAATAGCCTCTGACCTGGCCAACCTTCTTCCTTCCACTCTTGTACCCTCACATTCTCCAGACATATGCAGCACTTGGCCGCTTTGGAGTTCGGCTTTCCAGCTGTTGACATCCTGTCATTGCACAGGCCAGGGTTAAAAGTCACGTGTTCCGTGAAGGTTCCTTGTCCGCTAACAATCGCTTCCTTGAGCCACACCCCTCCAGGTTCGGCCTCCACCTCCCTACCAAGGCGCAGCTTTGAAACCAGCACTTGGCCACTGGCCCTGTAATGAGTCCTTTGTCCCCCCCCCCCCCCCCCCCCGTGAGTCCTTAAACTGGATCAGTCTGTCTGTCCAGCACTGAGGGCCTGGAGTGCCAAGGGTCTCACACTACAGTCAGTTCAGGGGTTCCTATATGCTTTGCATATTGGGGTCCAACTGAGATTTGGTTTTTAAAAAATTTGAACCTTAAGACTCCCTGGAATATACCATGCTTTTATCTGTATCTCTATCATTCCACCTATGGTTCCTTCATCATTTCCTCAGAGCAGCCTTCCCTAAACCTAACCCCCTGCCCCAAACATGCACACAGATTAGTTTAAATGCCTCCCCCTTGCTTTTTTTTTAAGCTGTTTTACTGAGATACAACATACACCATAAAGGGGACAAATCTTAAGTACGTGGCTCAATGAATTTTTGCATATACTCTTGTCACCCAGATCAAGATAGAGAGCATTTCCAGGACCCAAAGGGCTCTCTTGTGTCAGTTAATTCTGCCACAGAACCCTTCTTTTGCCCTCTGGCACCATAATTTACCTTTTCTTGTAGTTCATATAAACAGAATATTATACATGTCCCTTTTTTTTTTAATTTTAATTTTTTTTTTAATTTAGAGAAGAGAGTTGTGTGAGCAGGGGAGGGGCAGAGAGAGACTCCCAAGCAGGCTTCAACTGTCAGTGCAGAGTCCGACACAGGGCTCAAACTCACAAACTGCTAGATCATGCCTGAGCCAAAACCGAGAGTTGGACACCCAACTAACTGAGCCACCCCTTCTACATGTACTTTTGTGTAAGGTTCCTTTCACTGCCTGATGCCTGTGCGACTGTGTGTTGTGTGTAAAAGTCTGTTCTTTTTTCACTATTACATACTATTTCATTTTATGACTATACCCTAACTTACTTATTTTAGTATTGTTAGACATTTGGATTATTTCTAGTTGTTTTGTTTTGTTTTGTTTAATCAACTTTATTAGGGCACCTGGGTGGCTTAGTTGGTTAAGTGTCTGACTTCGGCTCCGGTCATGATTTCATGGTTCGTGGATTCAAGCCCCACATTGGACCCTCTGCTGTCAGCATAGTGCCTGCTTCAGATCCTCTCTCCCCTTCTCTCCCTGCCCCTGCCCCGCTTGAGCTCTCTCTGTCTCTCTCAGAATAAATAAATAAACTGAAAAAAAAAAATCAACTTTGTTGGAGGAAGTATGGAGGGAGATGAGTTAAACAGGTGATGGGGACTAAGGAGGGCACTTGTGGTGAGCACCGGCTGTTGTATGTAAGTGATGGATCACTGAATCCCTCTCCTGAAGCTATGTTAACTAGCTGGAATTTAAATAAAAACTTGAGAGAGGGGAATCAACTTTATTGAGGTATAATTTATACACAATAAACTATATACATTCCAAGTGTGCGGTTCAGTGAGTTTTGACAGATGTTTCCAGCTAGTTTGAATGAAGGTGCTATGAGTGTTCGTGTGCATGGCATTGGTGGACATAAGCATTTGTTTCTATTGGGTGTATGCTCTCAAGTGGGATTGTTGAGGGGTGCCTGGAGGACTCAGTCGTTTAAGCATCCGACTTCGGCTCAGGTCATGATCTCGCATTCCCTGGGTTCAAACCCTGCATTGGGCTCTGTGCTGACAGCTCAGAGCCTGGAGTCTGCTTCCAATTCTGTGTCTCCCTCCTGCTCTGCCCCTCCCCCACTTGTGCCTTGTCTTTCTCTGTCCCTCAAAAAATGAATAAACATTAAAAAAAAAATTTTCGAAATGGGATTGCTGAGGCATAGCCTGATTGCCAGTATTTGAAGGCAGTAGAAATGACTTAACCTACCCCCCTCCACCCTCCAGCCATGGAGAAGAGCTTCAGTGGCTCCCCGCCCCCACCAAACTCCACATGACTGTCCTTTGGTTTCCGCCATTCTGTGCCACGCAATGGTGTTCCATCGTGCTGTTCATTTGCACTGCCCCTCTTTTCTTGCTTCCCCAGTCCCTCTGGCCACCCTAATTGGCACTCATCATACAAAATTATATTCACATAGTCTCACACTGGTAGGAGTGTCCCCAATGTCTGTCTAACTAGCTGGAAGACCCCCTAAGCCCTGTCCCTTCCCTGTCCTGTTTTCACAGGTGGTTTTTCCCCATCATCGGCCACATGGGTATCTGTACATCCACAGGAGTCATTCGGGACTTTGCAGGCCCCTACTTTGTCTCGGTGAGTTCCCACTCTGCCTCCCTCTGGTGGGTTCCAAGACTTAAGTGGAAGGCTGGCCTGTCTTGCCTGAGGCAGCTTTCCTGTCTCCCCAAGGCCCAGGAGAATGCAGGCACCATATCGTCCTGGCCCTGGCCCTCTGCTCTTCACAGTGTTTGACCCCTCTCCCCCTTCTCTTGCCTCCAGGACAGGCCAGGAGGGCAGTGTGGCCAGAAGGATTCTTAAGTAACTGACCCAGTCCTTTGCCCACCCCTGGGGTACCAAGACATGGGTAGGGGTTAGAGGCAAGAGTGGAGAGTCAGATCATCCAGGAACCACATCTCTGGACCTTCAGAAGGTGGGAGTCACAAGGTGGGGGCACAGGGGAGGCTGACATGGTTCCCTGGGTGTGGCCATGGAGAAGAGGGGGTGGGGCTCATAGAATGAACCAGCTCTGTTCTTAGGTCTGTTCCCTGGGGGTGTGCCCGAGACGGGACCCGTGGGCTTGCTCCAGGTGAGCCGGCCCTGTCTTGCCTGTTGCCGGGTTGCAGCTTCATCTCCACTAGAGGCTGGAGCGAAGAGATGTGGTGGTACCAGCCTGTTTATATCACTAGTTGTCGTGATCATCTTAACATGACATAGGTCTTTACTCGTATATTTTTATAATAATTGATCTTTGATCAGTGCTGTCAGCTGGTCTTCCTGATTCTGAACCCAGAATCTGTCCCCGAGTAACTCCTGTACCCGGATCTCCTGTGGCAGTTCTAGGACTTGAGTAAAATATGTCACTCCTAGGAAGCCTCTCAAGCCCCCTTCCAAGCCCCCCGTCACACTCTGAGTGCGGGCAGTCAGGCTGCCACTGTGTGGGCCACCACTGTCGGGTCAGGAGCTCAGAGGGGTTGTCATTTTTAGCACGAAGGAAACTGCCTCCCCGTGACCAGTCAGAGGTTGGCCAGAGAACTGGGAGCAAATGAGGGCCAGAGAAGGTGAGAGAGTTTCCTGGGTGCCACACAGAGCAGCAGTTGTGGCAGCCCCTCCAGGTCTTTGGCTTTTGTGCACTCCTGCCGCAATGCTGTCTTCTCACAGGACAGCTGCTGCTGGCACTTGAGCTGCTGTGGCAGCCCCAGAGCAGGCCCGGCCCCACGTCTGCCCACCTGCCATGCCCCCTCGCAGTCCCTGCGCTCCCACCACTGACCAGCTCTGTCTGCCAGGCTCGATGCGGGTTCTCCACTGACCTCTGCTCTTGTCCCTCAACAGGAAGACAACATGGCCTTTGGGAAGCCTGCCAAGTAAGTGATGGGCACCCATGTGATGAGCCCTAGGGCCAGGCTCCTCCTGCGTGGAGCAGTGGGGCAGACCCTCTGAGACACAGCGGGACCCAGCACCCTGAGGAGGGGGTGAGGGGAAGGGGAGCTGGGCCCCACCAGAGCATACAGCCTGTGCCAGGTGTCTTCCTGCACCCATTCCTGGCTGAGTCCTTGACCCACCCACCATCTAGACTGTCTCAGCTCTGCTAGGTCACATTCAGCTCCATTGGAAGGATGAGGAAAGACCAGGGCCTAGTCAAGATCACAAAGGAAGTAACAGAGCTGAGACTCACACCCAGGTGTCCTATTCCAAAATCTAGATTCTTCTGCCCCTCAGGAGTAAACAAGCCATTTTAGGTGTAAGGAGGCGCTGTTTGGAACTCGGCTAGAAAGTTCCTGTTAGAGAAGATAAAAGTAGTTAGGCCCTCTAGGAGCCGTTGCTATATTTTGCTTGGGATTTTTTATCTTCGTTTTTTTTCTTTTTTCTTATCTTTTTTTTAAGTAATCTCTATACCCAATGTGGGGCTTGAACGCACGACCCTCCAGATCAAGAGTCACAGGCTCCACCAACTGAGCCAGCTCCCTTCATTTTCTCTGTCTTGGGGGCCCACCTCAGCTCTGGGCCTGGTGACAGCGCCTCAGTCAGTATGCTCAGAACAGGCCCTGTGGTCTGAGGCCGCCCTGGTTGGTCAGGCCCCAGGGAGGAATTGGTATCCCACACAGCAGAGGCAGCCTGGAAGTGGCTCCTTGACCCCTGCTTGCTTCCTCACGCAGGTGGAAATGTTGGCCAGGGACCTCTGTGCTGGATGTCTGCTGCAAGGCTGCTATTTGAGGTCAATTTTCAGGGTTCCAGACAGGAGCCTCCGAGCAGCCCCAGTCCATGCCCTGCCTCTAGGCTCCTCCGCCAGGCCATTACCCCACATAGCCGCCAGAGGGCACCCTGCCCTCCCAGCACTTCCTGACTGGAGACCCTCTGGGCACTCCCTTGCTTGGAACAGCCGTTCTCACTCAGCTTGAGGTCTGTGCGCTTTTAGCTCTACAGGCTCTTCTCCCACACACCCCAGTATTGCATTTGGGGGAGGGAGGGACTAGGAGAATGCTGCTTGTGAGTAAACTCAGGGTGACGTTCAAGTCCCCCAAGACACAGCCCCACCTGCATCTCCCGGCTCAGGTTCCAGTGTCCCATCACTCTGTTCCTCCCTCTGAATCCTCCCAGCCACTTAATTCCTGGGGCACTTGTGTGCCTCTCCCTCTGTTCATGCTCCTCCCTCTGCCTAGAATGCCCATTTCCCCTTCTGTGCATGGCTAACGCCTCTTCCTTCAAACTAGACTCAGATGTCACCCTGGAAGCCCCAACATGAGCTAGTCCATATCTTCCCCAGGGTCCACATGGCACTGGGCATGTCACACTGGGTTACACTTGTCCACTGTGTGGCTCTTTCCCTGGACTTGCCTCACCCCTACAGCCCTGCATGAGCAGGGGTCAGGGAACATTTGTGAGGCCGAGTGACCATAAAAGAGGTGAGCCCGTGCCCAGAACTCCCTCTCTCCTCCCAGGTACTGGAAGTTGGACCCCGCTCAGGTCTATGCTAGTGGGCCCAATGCCTGGGACACCGCTGTGCACGACGCCTCTGAGGAGTACAAGCACCGCATGGTAGGTGGGCTGCTCCTCAGGCGGGAGCCAGGGTGGCAAGTCCCCACAGCCCAGCCTGACCCAACCCTTCCTGCGTCTCTAGCACAGTCTCTGCTGTGACAACTGCCACTCGCATGTGGCGTTGGCCTTGAACCTGATGCGCTATAACAACAGCACCAACTGGAACATGGTGACGCTCTGCTTCTTCTGTCTGCTCTATGGGAAGTACGTCAGGTGAGCTGTCTGCCTACCGCTCCCCAGCTCTGCTGGGGCTGCTCTCTCCCAAGGACCCCAGCAGGGTCATTGTGGAGTCCTGCAGCCAACAGGGGCAGAGCAGATGCTGGTTGGAGCCATGACATTTCTAGAACTGAACTCCTGGTGGAGAGGAAGGTAACTCTGCTGAAGTTCACCTCCACCTGGGTCCACCTGTGAGATCTCAGCCAACTGCCTTGGCCTCTCTAAGCTGTAGCCACCCCTGATAAAATGGAGACCATGATTCTGGCTCCTTGGAGAGGCTGTGAGCCCACAGAGCCTTGTGAGCCCACAGAGCCTGTTCAGGTTAGGTAAACAGGGAGCAAAGGAGGGTGTGCTAACTGCCCCAAGGATCCCTTCCCACCGTCCCTCATCAGAGCCAAGGTTCTGGGCAGGTGGGCCTCAGTGGTGGCCTCGGAGGATCTTTGAAGCCACAGCCTGACAACCTGTAAGGTCAAAGGCAGTTTTCCAGTTCACAGGTAAAGGGAGCTCAGAGAGGTCGAGTGACTCACCCACTTGGGAGGCAGCACTCACCCTGGCTAACCCAGCTGCCTCTCTGAGCTTTCCTGTAGCTGCACTCAAAATTAAGAGCTTCTGAAAAGGAGACACTTAGGGACCATAACTGTGGTCACACAGAGACTGAGGCAGAGTCCTGGTTGAACCCAGAGCCCTGACTCCCAATCCCTCAGCTCCAGCCACAGCATTATGCTAACTGTTGGCAATCCCTCTCTTCCCAGTGCACCTCGTTATGAGGGCTGCGGGCAGAGGGCAGCCTGGCTTCCACGCCGAGACCGAAGACATCCCTAGAGAGGGGTGGTTGTGGGTGGAGCAGTGAGACCCAGAGATGGTAGACGAGCCTGCCCAGCCAGGTGTCAGATGTCTGCCGGGAGCCCGGAGCAGCCCCTGCTCGGGGCTGTGATTGGTGGTCCTGCGTAGTCGGTGCCGAGCCAGGCTGGGCCCGTTCCCTTACCCGACCAAGTTTGGGGGTGAAGTCGTGGTTCCAGGAGCTTCCTCAGCGGCAGCAGCCCCGTCTGCGTCTGGGCACACGGGGCTCTGTGATTGCGCCCGCTCATTGGGCCCTTCCCATCCCAATTCTCCTCCTCTCTCAGTGTCGGGGCCTTCGTGAAGACCTGGCTGCCCTTCGTCCTCCTCCTGGGCATCATCCTCACTGTCAGCCTCGTCTTCAACCTTCGGTGATGGCTGCCTCATGGCCTGGAACCCACCAGACTCCCGAGGAGGCAGTCGCCACCCCTTTTGGTTCCAGATCCTTTCTCTTCACCCCAGAAGGCAGGGATGGGTTTGCTGGCTTTGACTGAGGGGTCTGGGCTGGATGGGGTGGAATAAGGGCTGAAGATGAGCATGGGGCGGGGGAGGGGGGGATTTGCTTGTTGTGTCTCACTGGTCACTAAGAAGCTCCCTGTCCCCTCCTTCCCAGGCCTGTGACCCCCACCCTTGAGGCACCCTCTTTGTTCATCTGTGGGAAAAGCCTTAGCTTCCCTCTGTAGCGTTGCTCCTGCCACTGCCTGCAGGGCTCCCGCTGCCTCAGCCCAGTGCCCGGTGGGGAGGGGAGCATTGGGACCACCGGACAAAGCAGCACAGGGGCCAGGGCTGGATTTGGAGCACAGCTGCCTGCCAGAGCTCTGGTCCCAGGGTGGGTGGAGGACACTGAGAAATCTTCATAAGCTAAGCTTCTCTGGGACCTAGACTACTAGCCTCTAGAATGGTCTGGTAGGGCTGGGTGGGCCCCCAATCAGATGTCTGCCAGAAGCTGCACCGGGGCAGGCTGCACCCTGTCTTCTGGTGTCCTCCAGCCCATGCAGCCCCCGCTTCCTCCTCTCCCTGGGCTTTCCAGCACTCGAGCCCACCTCCCCCTGCAGTTTGGGGCCTGGGCTCCGCCAGCCAGCCTGAAGAGGTCGCGTGATGCTGACATGTCCAGAGCGACCCCCCTGTAGACCAGAGCAGTGTAAACAGAGCTGGGCTTCGGCCCCAGGTATGGGCCTCGCGTTGGTGAGGGCGCCCGGTGCGCCCGGGGTGTGGGGGGCCATCCGAGCAGCCAGTGCCATCGGAGCAGGGGGGAGCCGTCATCCCACCTGCCACAGCTCCTGTATCTTCAAGTTGTAGAAAGGCGCGTGCTGCCCCTCGCCCCCACTGCACGGGCCCTTGCGCGGGGCCCCCTGGGCAGGGCAATAAAGAGTTTGACTCCAGACTCCAAGGTGTCTTGTCCTTGTTTTCTCCCTCCAGTGGCCCCTCGCCCCTCCCGCTCACTTCCCCCTGCTGTCCTGCCCCCTGGAGACGGGTCTGGTTGCCAGGCCGTGGCGGCGTGCTTGTCCAGTGCGCACCTCACGCAGAGCTGACCGGGACGTCCGCTGCCCTCAGGTGCCTCCTGCCCTGGGCCGGGCCTGTGGGAGCCGTGTGCCCTTCCGGACCCACCATCCCAGAGCTTTCTCCTCCGCGCAAACGAGCACCGAAGCCCTCCCACGTTCCCTGCTGGGAAGGCCTGGCAGCAGCGTTGGCAGGTGGGGCTGTGCAGACCGGCGCCCTGTGTGACCAGGGGTACACAGTTGGGGAGTGGCCCCGGCCCCGGCCCCTACCATAGCCATCGGTCATGTTGCCAGATTCCTCGCGCTGACCCCCAGCAATCAGGTCACCGCCCTACTCCATGGCACCCCCACTTCTCAGGCCCCTCCCTCCGCACACCCTGCTCTCCCACGGCAGCACCTGCCATTTCTGTTCCTTTGCTTTCCTCCTGTTTAAAGGATGGCCCTCTTTGCCCAAGGCTTGGCTTAAAAGCCACTTCCTTAGTGACGCCTTTCCTAACCTCGCTCTATGTCTTCTATCATCTTAGTTGAACTAGCAAAGGATTTGGCCTCTGAATCCTGAGGGTCTTTTGTGTTCATCAGGAGGAGGGCCTTGAGAGCAGCTCTAGCTGCAGGCCCCCGGGTTCCTGGAGGCCTCTGTCCGCTCATCCCGGCCCCTGCAGGGCTGGGGTTCCTTCAGGGCAAGACAGAGCCGCCCCCTCCCCACTTCAGAGCAATTCTCAGAGCTCCGTTTTGCAGGTTGGGATCCATCTGAGAGTGGGGGGTCGGGGGCAGCATTTCTGTACGGAGGACACCCACAGCAAAATGGATAGTAAAAAGTCATAAGGCCTGCTCCAGCCCAGCAGAACTTTAAATTAGCTGGGGGGGTGGGCATTAAATAAATAAGCAAGCCAGCCTTGGGGAAACAGGATATAAAGAGCCATAAAAATCAGCAACAGTTATTGAGTGCTTACTGTGTGCTAGGCATTGGAATAAAGTATCGTTTATCCTCACCACAGCCCAGTGAGGTCAGTGCTATGGTCCCCATTTTACAGATGAAGAAATAAGCACAGAGAGGTAAAGTGATTTGCTCAAGGGCACAGAGGTAGGAGAGTGGAACGGTGTTTAAGCTCAGTAGCCTGGTTCCAGAGCCACCCCACGAGGTGTCCTGGCTGGAGCACAAGGGGTAAAGCTGGGAGGGGCTTTTCTCCAAAGGGCCGGATACCGTGATCAAAAAGAAGGGAAAATGGAGCAAAGGGACACTCCTTACAGCGGTCCCCTGAGATGGCTGCTGTCATTGCCCTTGTTTTTATAAAGGCACAGAGTGAGGCTTAAAGAGATTGTCATTGATCCAAGTCCACTGGGGACCGTGTGGCAGAGCCAGAAGTTTAAGCCAGACCCACTGGCCTCCAGGCCTCTGCCTCTTCACCGTGAGAGTTGCCCAGTCTAAGCGCAGAGCACAGCATGGAGGCGTAGGGAGCCCTGGAGAGGCAGCAGCGGGACATGGGAAGACCATTCCTGTAGCTGGGGACTAGGGCGCGCCAGCAGACCGGGTTGTAGAAGGGACAGGAAGCAGAGTCTTTGGGGAGGGCCCTAAGGATGTGGGAGACCAGGACATCAAAGTGGGGGTCTGGGGGTCAGGCTGAGGAGTAGGCCAACCCAAGAGTTAGTCAAAGTGTCTAAGGGAGGCTTGTCAGGTTGGGAGCACATTTGTGACCCGACCAGAGGGTCACCCTCATTGTCTGCCAGCACCCTCCAAAGGTGAGGAATGACATAAAAGTGGGGTGCTAAGTGGGTCCTCTGACAGCCATGTGTACAGAGCTAGAGGGGCTGAATGGAGGCCAGGAGGCAGGAAGGAGGAGGGTTCCAGAAGAGGCCGGGCTGGTACTGACCCCTGAGAGGGGACCAGGGATGGGGGATGGATGGAGACAGGGGCAGTCTGGGAACTGGCAGCAAGCAGCAGGAGGCCGGGGGCTGTTTGCAGCAGTGGAAACTTGGAAGTAAGATTTGAGGGGTGGGGGTGGGGTGTGGATACAGAGTCAGGGGACAAAGCAGCTTGGCTGTGGCCAGCGCTTCCCAGGAGGCACATGTGGACATGGAGGAGCAGGGGTTGTGGAAATGGACTGGGTCGGAGAGGGGACACCCAGTACCTACCACATGCCCACTTGTGCCAGGCGCCTCCTGTCCCTTGGAATAGGCTCTTCCCACTTCTGCCCAGTGTGCATGCGAGGAAATCGCAGCTCGCCATGTTTGAGACCTGCCTAAGGTCGTGAAGTGGCAGAGCAAGCCCTCTCCACTCGGGTCCTCTGACTGCAGTCTGCAACCCTTCCACGACCCTGCTTCTTAGGAAGGTCTCTGACGTTGCTTTCAAAGCAAGTTCCTCTCAGCAATTCAGCAGGCAGGGTGGGGGCGCCACCCATTCCACGGATGAGGCAACCAAGGCGCTGAGGGGTTGGTGCCTGCTCTGCTGGACAGGAGTTAACAGAATAAGCCAGCCGCGGAGCTGGGGCCAAGCCACAGACACGCCCCTGCCCACCAAACCGGCTCTGGGTTTTCTGGAAGTCACGGCTTGGCTGCACCCCCGGGGTGCCGAGAGTCCAGGCCCGGTTTTGCATCAGGCCCTGCTGAGAAGGTGAGAAGGTGTTTCCTCCTCCTCCTCCTGGGGCAGCCGAGTCAGCCTTAGTCCCTCGCTGCTCTTCTCCTGAAGTTCAGCCCTGAAACTCGGCTGCCAGGGGAGCCCAAGTCGCCTTACGAAGGTGTCTGATCCATACTGGACCCCTCCAGGTAACATACCTCAGGGCCAGGGTTCCCTGCCTGTGTCCCCTCGGGTAGGCACTGCCACCTGGTATCCTGGGTACCCCCTGGGGCCTCGGGTGTGGGAGGAGGTGGAAGAGGGTCTGGGACTGGCACATATTGACCAATGGGTCTGTCCCATAGCGTTGAAGCAGAGTAGAGGAGGACCGGACACTTGATTCTGCCTCTAGAAGGAGAAGGAGCTGCAGGGAGAGGGGTTGGCTGCTGGGGACTCTAGGCTCAGACCTGCAGGACTAGGGCAGGGTCGGTTCCACAGAACATCGCCCACCTCCATACTCAATCACACATACCTGGTGGTCCCTGGGGACACCAGAGCACACGCCACAACACAGCCTAGTCACACATACAGCATAGGAGGAAATACACACACGGCACATACACCACACAACGCTGTCACCGGAAAGTTACTGAACATACCACACAGGCAGCAGTCACCCACGCCGCATCACATTGTGACATGATGCACGGACACACACGCATTGATACAATATTCACGCCCACAAAATAAACAGCCTCCTAGATCCCACAGTATGCAGACTCTCACAAGGGCACAGCGTAACACAGACCTCAGCACGGCCCTTGCACACACCATGCCACGGAAGAGCCCCGAGCCGTGCGTTTGCAACACCTAGCACTTTGAACACAGCAGACGTTCAGGAAGTATTGTTAACGCTGGGCACATGGGCATTCACAGTGTTCTATGTGGTGCTCGATATAGACATTCAGGAAGCCCAAGCCCCCGGGTGAGGGTGGGGCAGCACACCGCAGAGGGCTCCCTCGGGCTTGACTCAGCTGGGAGGGCACAAGCCAGGACCTGCCACATGCCCTGGTGTGGGAGGGGCCGGCAGGGGCGGCAGGGGGAGGAGAGGCTGCCAGCGGGTCACGCCATGCCTCTGCCCTGCCCATGGCCCCGTCGTGGGCCCCTTGCCATGTTCACATGCCCCCCTGAGCTCGGCAAATGTTTTCCTTCCAGAGTCACCACGGTACCAAGAGCGGCTCTGCCGAACTTGGCCTCCACCACCTGGACCCCAGCCAGGCCCTGGGTCAAGGGAAGGGGGAGAACCCGTGTGACCCAGAGCAGTGGGGCTCAGGGGCTCCGGGAAGAGGGATGGTAGCAGGGGCATCCCTGGCTGGGGACCTCTGTGGGAGTGGGTGCAGTTTTTACCTCAGAGGGGAGGAAGTGGGGGTGTTGGCTGGGGAGGAGGTTGCCTCAGACAGGAAGACCAAATGGGCCAGGGCAGAGTGGAGGTGAAGGGTGGAGGGAGGGAACCCATATTGGGAGTTTCCCAAGGCAGGAGGGTGAGCAGGTGTGTGTGTGTGTGTGTGTGTGTGTGTGTGTGCATTCTCCATGTGTGTGCAGGTATATTTCTGCATTCAATTAATCATACTTTTTTTTTTAATGTTTTTATTTCTGAGAGAGAGAGAGAGAGAGAGAGAGCAGGTGAGAGTCAGAGAGAGGGAGATACAGAATCTGAAGCAGGTTCCAGGCTCTGAGCTAAGTGTCAGCACAGAGCCCGATGCAGGGCTCGAACCCATGAACCGTGAGATCATGACCTGAGCCGAAGTCAGGCGCTTAACCAACTGAGCCACCCAGGCGCCCCTCAATTAATCAAACTTTTACCAGCCATCTGCTGTGTGCAACATATGGGCTTTGGGGGTGAGGCCCTGTCCCTGTCTTCAAGGAGCTCACAATGCAGTTGGTGGAGGGGCAATGTCTGTGCAAAGGTCGGTGTGATTTGTGTGCATCTCGGGTCATGTTTTGTTCGCAGGGTTATTGTACGTTCTGTGGGTCCTTGTGTGCAGGTTTAAGAATATGTCAGGTACAGGGGCACCAGGGTGATTCAGTCAGTTAAGTGTCTGACTTCGGCTCAGGTCATGATCTTGTGGTCTGTGAATTCGAGCCCCACATCAGGCTCTGTGCTGACAGCTCAGAGCCTGGAGCCTGCTTCAGATTCTGTGTCTCCCTCTCTCTGTGCCCCTCCCCTGCTGCCACTCTTCCCTCCCCCCCCCAAAAAATAAATAAACATAAAAATGTAAAAAAATTTAAGAATCTGTTAGGTACATGTCTGGTCTGGGCATGGGTCTGGGCCTATGACTGCATAGAATCCTTTGTGGAAGAACCGGTGTGCACTTGCCTGTCTACAGAGGTATCAGTGTGGCCATGTGACCAGGTGTACATCTCCCTGTGGGTAGCTGTGTCTTCAGTGTCAGTGTGTGTGCATGACTCTACACATCTTCAAGTGTGTCCATGAGTGTATTCATGAGCCAGTGTACGCACATGTCGTGGGGGTGCCTCATGCCACCTTGACCTCAGCCTTCCTGGAGTTGTATGCTGCCCACCAGTTAGGCATATATTTGAACAGAAAAGGGCAGTCGGGCACCTGGGTGGCTCATTCAGTTAAGCGTCTGACTCTCCATCTCAGTTCAGCTCTTGATCTCAGGGTCGTGAGTTCAAGCCTGGCGTTGGGCTCCTCTCTGGGCATGAAGCCTATTTTAAAAAAGAAAAAAGAAAGGGCCGTCAGCTCCAGGAGGTGCCCCCTATTTGGGCAGGGCTTTGACCTGACCTCTGGTCTGCCCCCAGGGAGCCACGTGTGCCCAGCTGGGGCAGTGCCCCAGCTGATGCCCCAGAGGGGTCACCCGTCTCCAGAGGGGCTCTGGACCCTGCCCTGCCTCCTCATGGCGCATGAGCCAGAGCCTGAGACTGATGGACTGTTGGACCTCAGCTTCCTGACAGAGGAGGAGCAGGAAGCCATTGCCGATGTCCTGAAGCGAGATGCCCGCCTGCGCCAGTTGGAGGAGGGCCGGGTCAGGTGAGGCAGGGCAGGGGAGCCCAGGAGGAAGGGGCCTCAGGCTCTGGGAGGCTCAGGTGCGCCCTGCCACCCCCCAGTGTGCGTCCTGCCGGATACCTGCGTAGTTCTTGTGTTTGCCCGTTGGCTGCCTCCTCCCTTAACCAGCTCAGCTCATCACCCCTCAAGGTGGCTGCACCAGCTCCCTTACCAGCCTCCCTGCCTCCAGGCTTGCCGTCTCTGAGCGCCCGGTCGTGCTGCGCCTGGAGCTCCCCGGATCTGTTCTCAGTACCCCCTACAGAAACCTCCTGTGTTTCCTCAGCACCTCGTGTCAGGGCCAAGCTCCTGAGTGTGGTCCGCAAAGCGCCCCCTCCTGCGATTAGCCCCTGCTAATGAGCCTCCCCGATCTCATCCTCCACCAGCAACCCCCACCCCTGACACATGCACAAATTGTCCACTACAGCCACCCAAGTGCTTAACAGTCCCTGAACACACCCTTCACTCCTGTGCTGTCCCTTCTTCCTGGAAGAAAGAGCACAGTGGCAGAGAAGCCTGGGACTTACAAGTAGTGTTTGGGGACACACAGACCCCTCTTAGCCATGTAACCTTGGGCAGCTCACCTGACCTCCCCAGCAACACTCACCCCATCTGTAAAATGGACCTAAGGACCACTACCTCGTAGATTTGGAGGAGGGATTATGCACAATAGACATGTAATGAATGATAATGATTCTCCTCCTCTGCCTGGAGAACTCCAATTTGTCCTTTAAGAAGCAATTCAAAGGGCACCTCCTACGGGAAGCCCTCCTATATTCCCACAGGCAAAGCTGGCCCTTCTCACATCCATCATGGCACCTACCTCTTTAGAATGGACTTATCTACTCTGGGCCCAGTCTCCCCACCAACCAGGGCTCCTTGATCCAGAGCAGGGATCGAATCTGATTTGCTGTTGCGTCCCTGGGTCCAGGTCCTGGGCCCGGCACAGAGTGCATGGCAGGAATGCAGGCTGGGTGACTGCCATCCCCTCCCTCATCCTCCAGCAAGCTCCGGGCCTCGCTGGCAGACCCTGGGCAGCTGAAGATCCTGACAGGAGACTGGTTCCAGGAAGCACGCTCACAACGACACCACCATGCCCACCTCGGCTCTGACCTTGTCCGAGCCTCCATCCGCAGAAAGAAGAGCTCCAGGGGTGAGAGGAGCCCCCAGGGTCGGGCTGGCTGCACACAGCCCAGGGCACGGGGTGTACACGGACAGGAAGAGAGGGCCCCTGGTGCTGGGTGCCTCTGGGTGGGCACCACCCCTCCGTGAGCGGGAGGTGAGTGAGCCTCTTCAAAGGCCACACTTCCCGAGACTGAGGCTCACAGAACTTCTCACCCAGGCACAGGAGACCGGGCTCCAGGCAGCGACAGAGGGGCTGAGGCTGCGGCTGCGGAGGAAGAAACCGAAGAGGAGCTGGAGCCCAGGTGGGGGGCTGGGGGGGATGACAGGGAGGGGAGGGGTGCCTACCAGTCCCCTGAGGCCTATCCCCTGACAGCCACCTCTCCCTTCTAGGCTCCCCATGGACAAGGCCCCCCAAGAGATGCTCAGCAAGGCTGCGGTGAGTAGCGGGTGACTGAACGGGCTGATGAATGCGCCTACGAGGCCCCGAAGCAGAGGTGGGATGTGAGAACCAGGAGATCCTGGTCTGGGCCGCTGTCATCCTCCTCTGTCCAATGGACTTGCCCGCTAAGGGAATCTCAGAATCCGGCTGAGCCGGGCGAGGTCCAGGACTCAGATGCTACTTACTGTCTGTCTGCCGCCAGTGGGACCCTGGGAGTCAGGCCGGGCAGGCCCTGACCTGTGAGGGGGTGTGAAGTACAGGCCCAACTGGTCCTGCAGCTGCTTGCCGGCCCTGCCTGGAGGGCTGTGCTAAATCTCTCTGGAGTAGCCAGCTGGAGCGTCTGGCCTCTGACCCCATTGTGACCTTTGACCCCCTTGTCACCAGACCCCCACTGTGACCTCTACCCCTTGCTTCTTTCAGGAAGCTAATTTTCCCTCACCATATGTCCCCCTAAAGGCTTCAGATCATGAGGAAGAGGCCCAGGCCCAGGAAGGTGAGGGGGAGGGTGTGTACTGGGAAGTAAAGAGGTTTTGGGGAGCAGGGTCTAAGTGACCCCAACCACCTGTTGCTGTCTGTCTCTCTCCTGTGTGTGTGTGTGTGTGTGTGTGTGTGTGTGTGTGTGTGTGTGTGGTCTCCATGGGCGTCCCGCAGCAGCACTGGGGCCTGACTTGCACGGTCACCGGGCTTGCACACCAGTCCTTCCAAATTCGCTCAGGGGCGGGCAGGAGAGGGCCACGCTCAGCAGCTGGTGTCCCTTCCCAGCCCCGGGCCCAGGGGACCCGCAGGTCTACCCGGAGAAGGCGGACCCGGAGCCCGGGCCACGGCCGCGGGGAGAGAAACCACCGCCTCCCGCAGTCCAGGTAGGCGGGAACGGCCCGCGGCTGCTCCCAAGACCCGGAGTGGATTTCGGGCGGGAGTGCCCCTGCCCTAGGCTTTGAGCCGTCGGGGCGGGGCTGGGAAAGAGCGGGGCGCGCGGTCACTTGCCCTGTCCCCAGACCCAGGCGGCGCCTCAGATCCTGGAGAACGGGGAGGAGGCTCCGGGGCTCGGCCCCTCACTCGACCGCATGCTCAGCAGCAGCTCCTCGGTGTCCAGCCTCAACTCCTCCACGGTGAGGGGTGAGGGCGAGGGCCTGGGGACGCGGGACACCGGGGGCGGGGGGTGGGGAGCTTCCGGCCTTGCCCCGGCCTGGCCCCTCCCGCGCTCCCCCTGCCTGCACCGTCCCCCTCACCTCCACCCTCGTCCGCAGCTGAGCGGCAGCCAGCTGAGCCTGTCCGGGGAGGCTGAGGCGGGCGCGGTGCAGGTGCGCGGCTCTGTGCACTTCGCGCTACGCTACGAGCCGGGCACCGCCGAGCTGCGCGTGCACGTGATCCAGTGTCAGGGCCTGGCGGCCGCGCGACGCCGCCGCTCGGACCCGTGAGTGCCCTCACCGCCCTCACCGCCCCACCCCACCATTCTTCTTGACCTCCGTCTCCTCGGCTTCAAAATGGGAGCATCAACGTCCATGGGAGGCATGGGTTTTGAGTGAGAGCATTGGGAAGCGCTGCCCGGGAAGCTGTGCTCCCAGCTGGGGATGGGGAGTTGCCCTCGGAGGGGTAGGCGCTGGAAGGGCCCCCCCGGCTCAGCTCCGGTCCTCCCCTGCCCTCCCCTCCCCTCCCCCCCGCCTCAGCTACGTCAAAAGCTACCTCCTCCCGGATAAGCAGAGCAAGCGCAAGACGGCGGTGAAGAAACGGAATCTGAACCCGGTCTTCAATGAGACTCTGCGGGTGAGGCTGCGATGGCCAGGCGGCCCCCCATTAATGAACCGGACGCTCCTTCCTGCGGGGGCCGGGTGGCAGGGGCAGCCATAGTAGGGTCGTTGCAGGTCGCTCCTATCCTGTTCTGCGGGAGAAGAGCGGGGAGGCCCTCCGTCCATGCGCTCTCCAGTGGGTCTAGTGGTGGGCATGGCGCTAGTCCAGACCCCCACTTAACGCCCTTCGGGGTTCCCCGGATTCCCTCGTGCAAGGAGCGCGGTAGGGCAAGGGCCTGCACCCGCGCAGCGCTGAGCCAGGGCCGGTGGCGGTGGCCACTAAAGCGCACCTCCTCCCTGTCCCCAGTACTCCGTCCCGCAGGCCGAGCTCCGGGGCCGCGTGCTGAGCCTGTCCGTGTGGCACCGCGAAAGCCTGGGTCGCAACGTCTTTCTGGGCGAAGTCGAAGTGCCTCTGGACACGTGGGACTGGGCCTCCGAGTCCACCTGGCTCCCCCTGCAGTCCCGGGTGAGGCAGCTGGCCCGCGTGGGGAGGTCTCCCGCCTGCACCCCACCGAGCTTTCCTCCAGCGCCCCCCAGGCTCCGCCTTCGGCCTCCTCTCCCCTCGGGGCTACCTTTCTCTCTACCCTACTGCCCCCTTCGAGGGCCTGGCCCCCCGACGGCCTGCTGGGTGCACCCCGTCGGTGTGGAGACTCCACGCCCTTGCGGCCGCTTCGGCCTGGGCCCGCTCCCGCCCCTGACGAGACCGCCTCTCGCAGGCCCCGCCCTCTCCCGACGACCTGCCCAGCCGCGGGCTGCTCTCTCTGTCCCTCAAGTACGTCCCCGCCGGCTCCGAGGGTGAGTGACCGCCCGGCGAGAGGCCGTGCCGGACGGGCCCTGGGAAAAGGGGACCCCCAGTCGCGCAAGGGCCTGACCGAGCCTCTCCGCAGGCGCAGGACTGCCCCCCAGCGGGGAGCTGCACTTCTGGGTGAAAGAAGCTCAGGACCTCGTGCCGCTGCGCTCAGGAACCCTGGATTCCTACATACAATGGTGAGGGCATCGGACCTTCGCGCTTCCCTTCCTGAGCGCCTCCTCCTCTAATCAACCACCCTTGATTCCCCCCTGTCTGATCTTTGACCACGGGGGGGGGGGGGGGGGGGGGGGGGGGGGGGCTGAAGGGGACGACTTGAGCCAAGGCCTGTCAGGGAAGTTAAGGACACCCTTGAGGAGCTGCATTTCAGAGTGACTGGCTCTTTGGTGAAAAGATCTGGAAGGCCAGGCTGTGTGGGGCTTGGCCCGGAACTTGCAGTTCAGTGGCTTTCAAAGTTCGCTCTAGGGGTCTCCTAGGGGTGCCTCCAGGTGGCACCCCACACACTTCAGAGAGTGAAATGGAGTTCACCGGGTCAGTCGGAGTTCCAAGCCCAGGTTCCACCAAGGACAGTGTTTTGCTTTTTCTTTTTGAGCAAGATTTTATCTTGCAGAAAGGGTTCTGAGGCTTTAAAAAGTTTGGAAACTTTTTTGGGGGGCAACAGGGAGCCAATGGAGGCCACTGTGTGGGGAAGTAGCAGAGACATTACTCTAGGGTTCTGTGAATAAGAGTTGTAACTTTTAAAGGCAAGAGTCCTGAGAGGTGGCTGACGCCAAGGTCCCCGCGTTGTGAAGGTTTGAGGCCCAGTCTCAGGCAGGAGCCGGGGGGACATGGACATTGTGAGGGGAAATGGGTAGTATTCAGTGAATGACTGGTTCTGGGGAGCGCGAGGGGGTAGCCACTTGACTGCCAGCCCACCACCCCCACAGTTCAGTGCTGCCTGATGACAGCCGGGCCAGTCGCCAACGGACACGGGTGGTGCGCCGCAGCCTCAGCCCTGTGTTCAACCATACCATGGTTTACGATGGCTTCGGGCCTGCTGACCTGCGCCAGGCCTGTGCCGAGCTCTCCCTCTGGGATCATGGAGCCCTGGCCAGCCGCCAGCTGGGGGGTACACGCCTCAGCCTGGGCACAGGTAAGTGGGGCAGGGCCCTGGGGAGACCTGATGCTGAGAGGCAGGGGCTCAGTGTGTGGCCTTGGGCACTTCTCTGCCCTTTCCTGAGCTTTGGGGTCCACTGAGAACTGGGAGTGGCAGTGCATAATCTGGGATCAGGCGGGTGTCCCTTGAGACCTGGGGTGCCCAGTGTGACCACAGCCTCCACCCCTGTCTGCACACATCTAGGCAGCAGCTATGGGCTCCAGGTGCCCTGGATGGATTCCACACCAGAGGAGAAGCAGCTGTGGCAGACACTCCTGGAACGACCAGGCGAGTGGGTGGACGGCCTTCTGCCCCTCAGAACCAACCTGGCCCCCAGGACATAGCTCTCCTATAAGCCCACCAAACTCCTCTCTGGACCCCCATCTCAGGGCCTGCTCTTGGCTTAAAACCAATAAAGTTTATTCTAAGGGCATCAAGGGGCTGATGTCTGTTTGGGAGGGGTGAGGCTGATGTCAGGGAAGGGTGATGGTAAGTGAAGGGGAACAGGTGAAAGATCTTTAGACTCAGAAGGAAAGACCTTAGGGAGCTGCTCCCAGGAGCCCCCGCACCCCCCCATACCTCAGAAGTTGCCAAGGCCCAAGCGTACAAAGGTGTTCTGTTTAATAGTCTTTGCCTGGTGGTACTTGATACGCTTGGCGCATCTTTGTGGTTGGTTCTGCCCACCTGGGCCCTGCCTGCCCCCCATCCACCTGGCCTCCTCCAGTTGAGCCTGCGTCCTGGCGCAGGTACAGCAGAAGCTACTTGTGTCTTCTCCGTTCATCCATCCTTGGGTCTGCCCTCCTGTCTCTGAGTTCTCATTCAGCCTCCTGGGGGCCAGGGGTAACGGGCGTGGATCCTGCTCGCTGCGCCAAGATGGCTCTCCAGATGCGCCACACCATCCCTCCCCTGGGGAAGCAGGCTCAGTGTGGCTTGCCAGAAGAAGGCCCTGGTCCCCTCTAATACCCACTGTCTGCCTGATGCCCTCTCTGTCCCCAGAGGACACTGATGCCCCTGTAATGTTCAGGGAGGAATCCAGGCAGGCATCTGATCTGATTAGGATCTGACCCAACATGAAGCCATATGCATGAGTCATCCCTGGAGGGCCCAGGACATACCTGATGCGGGTGTAGATGAGGTCATCTCGAGTGGCACAGGTCAATAGGGTATGGAGGGTGAAACTGTGGTTCAGCAGCTGGTTGTGGACAGAGACCCAGATGCAGAAACAGTGGGAGAAAATATCAGAGCAAGATGTGTTCAGACTCAGGTACTAGCTCTGTAGTACTACCAGTATGCTAGGGCAGATAACACCCCTTTCGGGGCCGCAGTTTTCTCATCTGTACCACGGTAGGGGGGCGGGGGGGGGTATACTAAGTGCTCTTCCCATACTGAGATTCTCTGTGTGAGAAGAGTGAGAAGAGCTGAAAGATGGGCAGAGATGGAGTCTTTGGTCGTGGGAGTGAAGGGCTGGCCAGCACTCTCCCTCTCACCATCTGGATGGTGCCTGAATCCACATTCAGTTCCTGTAGCCACTGCACCAGGCCCTGGTCCACGGTGAGAGCAGCTGTCAAGGAGGGGTCAGGTGGTGAATCCAGGGGTACTTCCTGCCAGAAGCGGCCTCACACTTGCCACTAGTGTTCACCAGCTCACCTGGGGGCTCAGAGGCCAGGGCGAAGATCCTGGTCTTCCCATTCACCTGCTGTAGAGCTTGCTGCACCAGGGCCTGGTACTCCCGTTCCTTCTCGGCCAGGACCTCTCGAAGCCTGTTGGAGAATGCAGAGGGTGGGGGAACAGAACAGCCTGAGGAGTGAAGGTGAAGCTGGCGCAGAGGCTATGGGCCAGGCCCAGGGGCTTTACCTATCGGTTTCTGCTCGCAAGAGGCCCAGCTGCACCATCAAGGGCGGGGATCCCTGCTCTAGCTCCCCAGGGAGCCGGCTCAACTGGACCAAGGTTTCCTGTTGCTTGGACTGGGGTTCCTCTTCTTTACTTGACTCCTCTGACCTCGGTGGGACCGCTTCCGTCTCCACCTCTGTCAAGCCAAGTGACTGGAGTGAGCTCAGGCAGGGAGGGAACGCCCATTTGGGATTCCCAAACACCAGGGAAAGGCGCAAGGCCCTGGGTAGCTGCCAGGCAGTGCCAGTCCGGGATTAGGCCGTTGGGCCACGTCCCACCCGTTCTGTCCAGGTTGAGCCTAACCCCTGCAGGCCATGCCCCCTACCGGCTCCATTTGTGCTCACCAAGCCCCCAAGGGCTTTACCCTCGCAGGCCAGCAGGCCAGCTTCATTCGGTCTACCTGGGCCCAAGACAGCCAGGGCTACGCGTACAGCTCGGCTGAGCAGCGAGTCCAGCACGAACATCCAGTGTGGGCGGATCTGGCGCCTCCGGAGGATCTGCTTCACCTAGAGAGAGAGAAAGGGCGCTTGGCCGAGTTTCAGATAGAGGTGGGGCTTGAGTTGGAAAGGCCTAGAAAGCCTTTTGCCAAAAGCTAGGCGGGGAGGCGGGCTTGGGGCCAAGGGAGGGGCTGGGAAGTTAGGACTGGGTAGATGTCCCTTTTCTGTTGGCTCCATCTTCACATGCAACTTCACATACAAGACATGCAACTTTGCAACAAGTCCTTGCACATTCCCAGGGACAGGGAGCTCACTACCTCTTACTGGGCAGTCCTAACTGCAAGAAAGCTCCCTTACCGCATCTGGGAAGGCGAAGAGCGGTCCATGCAGAAGCACAGGCCCAAGGCCTTCAGCCCGCAGCTGCCTTTGTAGCGCCCGCAGCTCCTGGGCCAGCTGCCGACGGTTGGGTGTGTGAATGTGCGCTCCGAGGCAGCGCAGTAGCTGTTCCACATGATTACTGCCCAGATGGGGACCCTGAGAAAGAAGAGGGGTTGTCAGTGGGTGTTCCCGCCTGAGTCAAGAGAGTTGCTGGTGGGTGAAGGAGGGAGGGAGGCCATCCACAGGCTTCCGGTCCGCGCTCAACCACCAGGGCGCGCTGGGGCGGCCACACCCACCTGTTCCTGCTTTGGGCGCAGATTCTCCACCAGTGTGGGCAGCTCCTGCTCCAGTACCGCGGCCAGCATGGCCCTGCGCTTGCTCTCCTGGTGCAGCAGGCTCAGCCCAGAACTCTCCTCGGGGGACGTGGGCTCCTCTGCCCCGGGTTCCTCGGGCACCCTAGTGCGATGGGGAGCTGCGGGTGGAGGGCGGGTAGCAACACCGGCCAGCCACCTCCACCGCAGGGTTTGAATCCTGGCTCTTTTACTTTTATGCCTACCTCACAGGGATACAAGAGAGAAGCCTGGCACTGAGGTGCCACAATAAATACAAGTCAGAGCATCTGGGAGGAGGCACCAAATGCCATCCTTGCAGGTGGCTGGAGGCCAGAGGGGGCATCTTCTGGAGGGAGTACAAGGGCAAACCCGGATGAGGCAAAGCTGCTCCAAGACCCTGGGCTCTCACCGAAGCTGGCTGGTGTCTCCATAACTGAGGCAGCGCTTGGGCGGACTGGGTGGATGCTGAAAGGGTGCCTTAGGGCACGGGAATGTCTGGGACTGGGTGGTCGGGTCAGCGGAAGGAATGGGGCTGGCTGAAGGGGCATCTGAGGGAGGGACATGGCTGTCAGCCTGGGCTGACACCTCCACAGCTCCTCTGCCCTCACCCCAGCGTGCCCCCTCCCTCCACCTGTACCTGAGGGCCGCGGTGCCTGTCTGGGAGAGCCCGGGCTGCGGCTCCTCTTCCCAGGCTGCAGGAAGGGGTCCCCCAGCAGTGCCTGAGCACTGGCTCGGAGCCGGGGGTCCGGCTCAAAAGTTCGGAGAAGGAAGGTTTGGGCCTCCGCTGACAGAGAAGCGGGCATTGGCGGATGCACCTTGTACATGCCCACCTGGAAAGGGTCAGGGAGGGTAGACAAAGATCAAGTTTAGAGGTGTTCAGGGCCCACTCTGTCCCCACCCGACCTCATGAGCCAGGGCATGGCGGGGTCTCACCTGAAACATGGCAGCTTGCGGGTTCCCTAGCTCATGGAAGGGTGGGCGACCTGTGGCCATCTCGATAACAGTGCAGCCCAGCGACCAGATGTCAGCTGCCTTCCCATACCCTCGTGGGCCCTGGTCAATGATTTCTGGGGCCATATACTGTAGGGTCCCTAGAGCAGGAGCAATAGCAGTAGGACTCATCTAGGTTTGATCACCGTGGGGATGATCACTCTATCATCCTCTGGCCAGCTGCACCCACAGTGAACTCTATCATTCAAACAATTCCCATCACCTACCCTGGTGGTCACACACCTGTCCTGAGTTTCCTCACTCATCTCAGGCTCCATCATATTCTGACTCCTTCACCCCCTGTAGATTCCATCATCTACCCTGGACAGCATCATCCACTCTGAACTCCGTCACACACTTTAGCCCATGTTGACATCTCTGAGCTCCATTTCAGGCATTAAATTACCATCATCAGCTACCCAAGCTCCAGTTCGAGATTCTATCACCTCACCCCTGGCTCAATCACCAGCCCTGGGTTGCATCCCCCATTAGGGCTCTAACTCCATGGCCAGGGGAAACACCATTCCCTGGAAGGTCCTAAGGGTTCTTCTGTCCCAGTCCACATCCCCACTCACCACCCCACACCCCACTACCTGTGAAGGTCTCAGTGCAGGGTGTGATGCCTGCCAGCCTCTTGGAGGTGCCGAAATCAGAGATCTTGAGCAGCCCACTGAAGGTGTTGATCAGTACATTGTCCCCCTAAGTAGAGTGGACACTGTGCTCAGGGGACATCAGGCTGGGCTTCTGATGGCAGAACCTGACCCTATCCTGGGATCCCATCTCTGAGAATCCCAGCCTGACCCCACCTATATCAACCTCCTCCCTCTGCGATCCCATTTATGACCCTGGGAACTGACACCTGCTTTGGCTTCAGGTCTGAAGTTCTTTCCTTCCCTAGGTAGCCTCCTTGATAAATTCCCCACCCTTTGCAAAGGGGTCTGCACTCTTAAACTATCAGTCCCTGTCTGGAGCCATATCTCCTCTGGCCCCCCTCCACCAGTGAGCCAGGGTAGGCCAGCTACAGGGCTTACCTTTTTTCAATTTTTTATGTTTTATTTTAAAAAATTATTATTATTTTGCTTTTTAAAAAAGTCAGCTTTGCAATTTAAAAATGTCAAGGATATAATTTACATGCAGCAAAATTTACCATTTTTAGAGCATAATTCAAATGACTTTGGCAAATCTATAAAACTGTGTAACCACAACCAAAATAATAACATTGAACATTTCGATTACTCCCAAAGGATTCCCTCATACTCCTTTTTTTTTTTTTTTTAATAATCTCAGGAGTAGAATGTAATGATTCATCACTTGCATATAACACCCAGTGCTCATCCCAACAAGTGCCCTCCTTAATGCCCATCACCCATTTAGCCCATCCCCCCACCCAGCACCCTCCAGCAACCCTCAGTTTGTTTTCTGTATTTAAGAGTCTCTTGAGGTTTTTCTCCCTCTCTGTTTTTATCTTATTTTTGCTTCTACAGGGCTTACATTGATGTTTCTCTCTTTTTAATTTAATTTTTTTTATTTAAAAACTATTTTTAATTTATTTTGAGGGAAAGAGAGCGCGAGCAGGGGAGAGGCAGAGAGAGAAGGAGAGAGAGACTCCCAAGCAGGCTTTGTGCATCAGCGCTGAGCCCAATGCGGGGCTCAAACTCACAAACCGTGAGATCATGACCTGAGCCCAAATCAAGAGTTGGATGCTTAACTGACTGAGCCACTCAGGTGCTCTCTCTTTTTTATGGTTTATTTATTTATTTTGAGAGAGAGCGCTTGCACATGCAGGGGGAAGGGCAGAGAGAAAGAGAGATAGAAGAGAGAGAGAGAGAATTCCAAGCAGGCTCTTTGCTGACAGTGAACCCATGAGATCATGACCTGAGCTGAAGCCAAGGGTCAGATGCTTAACCCACTGAGCCACCCAGGCGCCCAGCTTACCTTGATGTCTCGATGGACTATGCGGTTGTCATGCAGGTAGCTGAGTCCCTGCAGGATCTGGCGGGTGTAGAAACTGATGGTGCTCTCATTGTCCTGCAGGGGTCCCCACACTGACCGCAGCAAGGAGGACAGGCTGCCTGGGCAGACGCCATCCAGGGTCATCACTGGCACCCCACCCTACTCCCGCCCTCAGCTCTCTGCTCAAGGCCCAGGCACACCCATGCCATGACCCAGACTCCATCACCACCCAAATGCACGGTGTCAGCTAATTCCAGGCTATGCCACCCACCCACGCTAGGATCCATTTTCCCCAAGGGTTCCCCACCCCTTCCTGGCTCCGTCCCAGTGCCCCACACTTCCAGTTCCACTGCCATCCCACGCAGGGCGGGTACCTCCAGGCACTTCCTCCATGAAGATCTTGAGGTAGCCGTCCTGGCTGGCAGAGCCCAGGTAGCGCACAATGTTCTTGTGGCGAAGGCGTTTGTGCAGAGCGATCTCTTCATGCAGGGGCTGAGAGAACCTGGGGGCAGGCAGGGAGAGAGGAATAGGTGAGTTTGGGGCTGAGATGCTCACCCCCGGAACCTGTCCCAACCACAAGCCCCTCTCTGACCTTCCTCACCTTCTCTATGACCCAGCCCACAGGCCGCTCCAGACCCTACCGCCCTTCTGGTCCCTGCCATCTGCCCACAGGCCCGGGCCCACCGGGCTGGGTCTCACATCTGTAAGCCCGACCAAGAGGGCATCCGCGTTTCCTACGCTACAGTCGTGCCCACAGGACCCCTTCGGCACGTGGTCCCGCCCACCTGCGCCCCAGCGAGCATGGCCCAGCACACCGCACCTGCTGTCCCGCTCCGGGATCTCCTTAATGGCTATGCGCACCCGTGTGTGCCGCTCGCGGCCCGCGTACACTACCCCATAGGTGCCCTTGCCCAGCACCAGCCGCTCGCCCGTCTCCATGTACTCATAATCGAACTGCGGGGTGTGGAGGGTGGGTGAAATGGGGGTTCAGCCCCCCAGCCCTCCCTCCTCCCCACACTCCCAGCCCCCTTTCTCACCTCCAGCACCTCCCCCACGCCCTCTCCCTCTTCTGCGGGCACCGTGGAATCCGGATTCGTCACCAAGGCTTGGATCAGGCTGCAGAACCTGAGGGTGAGGGAGGTCAGGCCCACGGGTGGGGTACCTTGGGCGGGAACTGTCCCCTCCGATGCCGGGAGCACCCAAGGGTCTTGTCCCTTCCTTTCCCTCACTCCTCTGGCACCCCCCGCCCCCCCCCAACACCGGTCCGAGAAGCTGTGCGCACCACTGGCAGTGCCCTACGCTGGGGAAGCACAGCTGCACATCCTGGGCCGGGGGAAGCGCGTAGAGGAAGCAGCAGCGCTCGTCCCTCTTCGAGGAGCTAGGGAGGGGTGAAGAGCCCCAGTGAGCGCCTGTCGCTAGCAGTGCCACCCCCTCCCAGGACCCAGACCTCCCCAGGTCCCTGCGGCTCACCTGACCCCACAGATGGAGGCCACTGGGAAGGTCCAGCTGGACGGAATGTCCTGGGAGAAGAAGGTGGGTCTGAGGGGGCTGCTGGGGACTGGGGGAGTGGCTTGGGGATGGGAGAAAGGTTCCAGAGAAGGGGTGCATAGTGATGAGTAGGGGGGGCCTCAGTGGTGACATCACCTCGGTTTCGGGCTCCAGCAGGCTCAGGGTCACTGCGCTCACCGGGTCAGTACCCTGAATCTCGAGCCTCGCGGGCAGCAGCACCTTGTTCATTTCCAGGACCAGCACCTGCAGATGACCAGGAAAGGGCTGGGTTAGGAGGCACCTGCCACTCTCCCAGGTCCCACACTTCCGCCAGGCGGCCTCACCAAGCACTGGTCCCCTTGGGGACAAGCCGTCTTGAGTGGCTGACAGGACTGTAGCAAGAAGCGGAGCCAGAAGTGGGCACGGTGCAGGGATCCTTCAGGAGGCTCTAGCATGGGTCTGAAGTGCTGGTACAGCAGGAAAGTTTCCATCATGGACACCAAGTACCTGCAGGCACAGCCTCGTCCTCAACTCAGCCCAAGCCCCGGCTAGCACTGCCAGGGAGAGCAGACTGGCTTGGACGAGACCAGAACGTGGGCAGTGGGTGCAGTGGGCGCTGGTCTGGAATAGGCCACGTCGTTGGCTCAGGGCTCAGGCTGGAATGCCAGTGGCCGTAAGTGCGGGAGCTGCCAGCCCAGGCCAGGCCAAGACTGCGGAGGGGACCACCTACCATATGGGAGCATTGAGCTTGTAGAGCTGCTCTGCTGCCAGCGCCACCTGGGCGAGGTCATTGGCGAGGATATGAGCTCCCAGGTAGAAGCCTACATCCCAGTAATACTGCATCTTCTCCACACAGCCTTTTCGGGCCAGCAGACAACCCAGCTTCATGCCTGGGAGAGAGCGGTACAGGGCTCTAGGGAGTGTGGCTGCCAGTGTGGGCAAAGCCCACGTGGGCAGGAAGATGGAACTAGACGTGGGGCACCTGGGTGGCTCAGTCAGTTAAGTGACCGACTCTTGATTTTAGCTGAGGTCATGATCTCAGTTTGTGGGATGGAGCCCTACATCGGGCTCTGTGCCGATAGTACAGAGCCTGCTTGGGATTTCCTCTCTCTCTCTCTGCCCCTCCCCATTTATACATGCTCCCTCTCTCTCTCAAAATAAATAAACATTAAACATTATATATATAAAAAAAGAAATAGCTGAAAGCTTAGGTGTGACCCTCCGGTGGGAGTAGGGGCTTAGGCACAGGAAGGTTTGGGGAACAAGTGTGTGTAGAACTCAGTGTATCAGGAACACAGGTGTGGACTTAGGAACATTTTGTGGGCTCAAGGGCTCATGAGGGTAGGAGGGTCCCGATGTGGGTTCAGGCAGAATACATATCCAAAAGGGGACAAGGCCGGTCCCAGCTCCAGCCCAGTGTCCTTTCTCCCTATGCTCTCTCCTGGCCCCTCTGAGGCCCTGCTGGTGGGAGGAGGGGTGTGGGATGGACTCACCTATGAGCTGGAGCTCTTCAGAGTCCTCAAAACGCTGCCCAGCAGCAATGAGCAGCACGGCCGCGTTGATGCCGGAGTGGAGGCTGGGCTCCATATCAAAGGCCTTGCGATACCTGGGGTGGGGGTGGGGACTCAGGGCTGGACTGATGCCCACAGCCCCATCCTTCAGCCCACTGTCCACTCACTGGTGCCCCTTACCAGTGATAGGCCTGCTCTCGGTGCCCAGCCTCCTGGAAGCCAGAGCTGAAGAACATGTCCTTGTAGACACGGCCGCACATGCAGTATAGGTCAGGGGCCACAGAGCCCTCACCCTGTACCAGGGGCAGCAGCACAGCCAGTGCCTTCTCCCGGTCCCCAGGCCTGTTCCTCCTACGGAAACGGGAAGATAGGACTTACCTGACGGACAGCCCCGCCCCACTCTATCCAGGAACCCCGGGACCCTGAACAGCAGGGACCCTTCCAAAGGCCTGACTGTAATGACCCCAGAATAGCTGTGACTCTGGTCAGCCCTGACATCTCTAGAAGTGATGATCCCAGACAGAAGTGATTCCTAGCAGCTGTGACTCTGCGGAACAGCGACGGTGGAAACTGTGACCACCCAAGGGCGGCAGCACCACCCCCACCGCACCTGAACCTGAACCTGAACGCTGCTCTGCCACTCACCGGTTGAGGGCAAACGTGTAGTGGAAGCAGACATTGTGCTGCTGGGCCACGTCACAGGTGGGCAAGGCCTGCAGCGTCTCCACCAACTCAATGATGGCCGAGTAGTCCTGCGGGAGGACACAGCACACACTGGCGCCATGGCCTCTGGTGGGTCCCATCGGCCCCCAGACCCTGAGGAAAACCTTGGGTTGGGGTCCCCTCCCAGTCCGACCCGCACCATGCCTAAGGCCCAGTAGGAAGTGTAGACACCACACCTTACACAGAGAACCGACCATGTGCCCCGACTTCCCTGCTGCACTGGAAGACGGTGACATGATCATCCCCCCACTACAAATAAGGAAACTGAGGCTCTGAGACATCAGATCGTTTGTTCAAAGCCACCGATGAGTGAGAGGCACAGGCAGGGGATGGACTTGGGCTTTTCTGACCCGGAATACCCCTGCCCTGCCTGCCTCTCTGAGCACCACACACCTGCACGTCGCGGTAGGAGAGCAGCAGGTTCATGATGATGTCGGGGCTCAGCAGCTCCACGCTGTCCAGTCTCCGCTGCAGGCGAGCCAGCTCCTGCCGCAGCTGCTGCCCGCTGAACCGCTCCCGGGCCTGCCGGATGTCCTGCCGAATGGTCTCCCGGAAGTAGCCACTAACGCCCCCAGCGGAGGAGGGAGGGGGAGAGAATGATGGGGTCTGGCCCTCAGCCCCAGCCCGCGGGGCCCTCACCAGCCTCCTCCTCTGCCTCCTCCTCGTGCCCCCTCTCTGTGCCCCATTACCAAGAGTCCGTGGGCGTGGCCTCCAGCAGACGGGCGAGCCGACCCACCAGGGGCGTTAGCAGGGCCTCGGTGCCCACCCCTGCCTGTACCAGCCCATCAGCCAGGCCCCTCAGGAGGCCTGCATCACCGCACAGCACCCGACCAGTGGCTGTCACCACATAGGGGATCAGCGTGTAGCTGCCAACACAATCCTGGTGGGAGGGAGGCAGGAATCAGTGCAGGTCAGAGGTCGGCACAGGTTAGACAGGGGCAGTGAAGGGGTCAGAGGTCAGCACCAGCGGGGATTGGAACAAAAGAGAAGGGGGACATGCTTCATGAAGGTCGGCAATAGGGAACGGAGGCCCACATGGACAGCAAGGGGAACCAGTGAGGTCAGAGGTGACTGAGGAGGCCAGAAAAGGTAGTGGAGGGAAGGGTGGGTTCTGCTTACCGAGTTCTTCTGGAAAACATCCTCCTGCAGGGGACAGTCAGACACTGGTGTTCTAGGTAGGCAGCACCCCAGCCCTGTGCCTACCCCCACCAGCCACCCGGCCACCTACCCGAAGAGCCTGCAGGTCAGGGAGGTCAGCCTGGGAGCAGAGGAGCACGTTGTTGGTCATGCTGAAGCTCTCACGCACGCCCAGGTGGTAGAACAGGGAGGGCTGTGCCAGGGAGCTGCTCACCTCCAGCACCACCACATCTGTGGGCACAGAAGTGGAGGCTCTGAGCCCGGAAGCCTGGCTCAGAGGGGAAGGTGCCTGGGAATCCACCCTGGTTCCTATGGTGTTCCCATGTGATTCCAGCAGGGTCCACTTTTGCTCTGGGTCTCAGTTTTCCCCTTCTAGACTTTTCCCCTCTAGCTCTTCTATAGAACGGATGATATCTGTGGTGGGTTGTAGGAGAGGATTGAGCTCAGTAGGCTGGGACCCTCATCCCACTGTTCAGGACCAGTGAGTGCTGAAAGTGGAGGCGAGGAGCTGTGTACCAGCCAACAGCCTATCCCGGGCCACTTGAAAGGTGTGGCACAAACACGGAAGTCCCCTACCCTGAGTCCTCAACGCAGTCTGTTGAGAGGGGCGGGCACCAGCAGTGTGTTTAGACAATGCTGTGCCAGTATGTGTATAGCTTACTGTTTTCTATCTCTGTGAGTGACAGTGGCTGCGAGGGCCTGTGTGAGTCAACATATGTGCGACTTGTGAGTCGAAGACTATGTGTGTCTTTGTGTCTTCGAGGTCGCGTCAGCCTTCACTTTCAGGCTGCGATTTCAGGGCCATCAGGCTGACTCAGATCCCAGACTCTTGGATGAACAAATAAGTGTCAGGGGCGGGGCGTCTGGGTTGGCGGAAGGGCGGGGTGACCGGAGCGGGAATACCGCCGGTCTGGCTCCGCCCCCGAGCGACCCAGCCTTGCCTCCAGTTCCGCCCACTACCTCGCAACCGCTTGGGCATCACAACCTAAGCTCCCTCGCCCAGAATCCTGCGCCGAAGGATCCCTTGGCTTTTCTTTTGGTCTCTCTAGCCCGATCCTCGGAAGTAGTATGCTACCTTCCCTGAACTCCAGCCCCCCAAATACGGCCCCCTTCCCTACTCCAAGCTCCACCTCCCAGGATCCTCTCTCACGAGCTCCGCGTGAGATCGTCTTGAGGCTGAGTCCTCCAACCTCACTCCTGAGATATCACACTCTGTCCCGCTCCCAGCCTCGTCCCAATCCTAACTAACCCCGCTCCCCAGGCATGGTGCCGACTCCAGAGTGGTTCAAGCCCCAATCCAAGCCCGGCCGCGCTCCAGATCCCCTAAATTCCACTTTTACCATGGCTACACCTCGAACCCCTCAGCGAGGCTCCCCTTGTACCCCCAGATCCCATACCCATCTCGGGGTCTCCCCGGAGTGGCCGAACCACGCCCCCTTCGGCCCTCCCCGGACCCCAAGCCCCGCCCCGGCTCCTGACCCCGCCCCCAGCGCGTCCTCACCGGCGTTGTAGAAGCAATCCAGAGCCGCGGTGTCTCCCAAAGCCAGCGTCCCGAAGGGTAGGGTGCGCAGCTGCGGTCGCGGTCGCGGCCCCGGGAGCTGCGCGCAGGCCTCGCGCAGGCAGCGCAGGGTCAGCGGCTCCGTCTCGGCTCCAGCCTCGTGCTCTACCCCGGGCTGCGGCTCCCGGGTCAGCACATAAACCACGCTGAGCGGCCGGCTTCGAGCGCAGCCCCGGCCGGGGGATGCGGCGGGGGGCCGGCCCCGGCTCAGCGCCTCGGCCAGAGGGTCCTGCCAGCAGCTGCCGGCGCGCTCCAGGGCTCCGGACCGCTGGCACGGCCCTGCCATGCGGGGGCGCCCGGCTCTGGGCACCCGGGGCGGGGCAAGAGCCAGTGGCACGGATCCAGGGATCTCAGGATTGGGAATCTCCGCACGGAATCTGGAAATCCGGAGTCGGTCAGAGGCCCTGTTCCGGGAATCTGGAGCGCAGGGCCAAAGCCAGGCTCCGACCTGCAAGGTCCTGGGGGTCTGAAGTTGGGGATTGGGTCCGGGGAATCTGGAGCATCCAGTGATCCGCAGCTCAGAGTCCCGAGAATCGGTCTGGCCGTGTCCACCACCATCCGAACTCCGCAGGAAAGAGTCCGCCGTCGCTCTCTCCAGCCCTCACATGTAGGCCGGGCCCAGCTCTTCCCGGCCGACTGGGAAAGCTCCACCCTCGGCCCTGGGGCAGCGCCGCTCCCTAGCGGCCCCGGACTTGGCCTCTCCCTTCCCTCCTTTCCCCTCCCTCCTCTCCCGCCAGAACCTCTGAGATTGGCCGCTTCCGGAACAGCCTGTGCCCCTGTGCAGCCAACCACTGTGGACTACTCAACGGCAGGCGCTTTTAAGATGTGTGCCCAGGCAAGGGCTAGGAAGGACGTGTGAACTTCAGAAGTCGCCCCGCAGGTGTCTGTTGAATGAATGGATGGCCGGGGACAATCAGGGTGCGCAGCACACAGTGGAGAACGTACATTCTCCAGGGCTCTGCTGTGCAGGCAGGGAGGGACCAGAATGGGAGAAGCCTGCTCCTTGGCCTGCCCGGAACATGGTACTTGGCATCTGAGCTCAGGAGGGGCTTTGCCCTTTTGCCAGGAGGCTGCTTTCCCCAGCATCCAATCTGCTGTGAAGCCTTGCTGACCTTTGACCTCCACGCGGACTATGACCACCAGACCTGAGTCCCCACATCAACATTTCCCTTCCTACTGAAGAAGAACCAGACACGTCAGCCCTTGGCCTACCACCACTGCACAGCTCCCCAAATCCCTAACCTCCTAGTGCTAGTGAGGCAGCATCTGGTGTAAACCTCAGTGGGCTCTGAAATCAGGAAGTGGGGACTCAGTCTCCAAGATCACTCAGTCCCATTGACCAAGTAGGATGCAAGCCCAGGACTGCCTGTCAGTCTACAGTTATCCTGCTCTGTGTGCTGCTCTGCTGCTTTCTAGAATGTGACACTAGCAAATGAACTGCTTAATAAATGCTAACTCAGTACCCGCTGTTTCACTGCCCTGTTACCCTGTGGAAGAAAAACACACCTTCCCTAGTTTGACCCAGAGTTCAAATGAGCCGCAAATGGGAGAGGCAAGACATAGTAGAGGAGAACTTGGCTCCCGAGAGAGAGGAGAGGGTGGAAAACAGATGACTCAGAAGGGACAAGCATGGGTCAACAGGGGGAGAAAACTGCGCAAATCCTCCCACAAAGACATCCACTTGTAGGACCTGGAGGACACAAGGGTGCTGTCAGTGGATGCTTGAATCCTTCCAAGTCCTCCACTAAATGCTCTTCTGGCTTTGTCTTGCACATGTCCGGAGATGGAAGCCTCACTACCTTATGAGCCATCTTCCTGACTGGAAGGAAGATCTTCCTTGAATAGAGCTGAACCCTGGGTCTCTGCTCTGCCCTCTTTTTTTAATCTAAAAAAATGTTTTATGTTTATTTATTTTTGAGAAGGAGAAAGAACATGAACAGGGAGGGGCAGAGAGCGAGGGAGACACAGAATCCGAAGCAGGCTCCAGGCTCCGAGCTGTCAGCACAGAGCCCGATGCAGGTCTCAAACTCATGAACTGAGATCATGACCTGAGCCGAAGTTGGACACTTAACCAACTGTCTGCTCTCCCTCCTTGAGTTCTTCCCAGTAACTAGAAGAGTCCTGCAAGCCAGGAAAGGGTTAAAGTGATTTATTTTTAAATGTGGACAGGGGAGCAGAGGCGTTTAGCAATAGGGAGTGTAGCTGTGGGTCCGGAAGCTGTACAGGGCAGATAAGGATGCTGGCTGCCACGGTGTCCTAGTGAAGCATCAAGTGAATCTTGCGATAAGGGTGGCCCACGCCCTGGCCTGAGGCCCAGTCGATGCCATACTTGTGAGCAGTGGCCCCAGACATTGCATGCACCCATGGAGATTGGACCCGTAGCACATTCTGTACCACCAGGCACCGTGGACAGTCACGGCGCAGCTGCTCTTGCTCATGTTGTGGTCAGCATCGTAGGTGGTAAAGGACTTCCCATTATGCAAGCACAGGGAGTCTCCTGCCAGAGAGGGGACAGAGGTGCCTTGGAGCCGGGCACCATTCCTGGCACCCTTGAAGTGATGACCTCACAGGAGCCCCAGAGCAACTGTGAGGTGGACGTTATCAGGCCCCAGGAGAAAACAGCGGCACCCAGGAGCCAGAATGTTCTCCCAAGGTCACTCGGCTAGTCATAGCGGCACTGGGACTTGAACTCAGGACTGTGGCTCCGAGGCCACATGCTCCTCCCTCTGCCTTGTCCCCTCCCAGAATCCCCAGCTCCCATCAGCAGCCTGAACAGCTCTGCCTGGGGGAGCCAAGAGGGGCTTCTCAATGCCTGGGCAAGGGGGGTCCTGAGGCACATTCCTCCTAACCACTTCCCTCTTTGAAGTCTCTCCTCAACAGTCACTGTTTTTCTGAAAAAAGAAAAAAAGAAAAACAACCAGACTTTCCCTGTTTCCTCTTCTGAAGCAGATAGTGCAGACACTCAGGAGGGCCTCATACGGCCCCCACGTCCTCCCTCCCTGCTTCGTTGCCCATTCTACAGGGCAGGAAACTGACGCACGGAAGGGACTTGCCCAAGGTCACACCGTTAGTAAATAAAAGAGCTGGATTCAGACTCAGGACTGTTCGCCTCCAGAGCCCAACTTCTTCACTCCTGCACCATTCTGTCTCATGATTGCCATTTCTCAGATGAGGAAACCAAGGCCCACCGAGGCGAAGAAATTCCCCTGGGTCAGTGAGGGAGGCCGTGGTCACACTGGGAAAGGATCCTGCCTCCCTCGCTTTCTTTCCCTACCCTGGGCCCCACCTCGGGCTCACTCACCTGCAGTGCCCTTTGTGAATTTGCCCAGCACCTGCTGGTAGTGATCCACCTCCCCGAGGAGGCGAAAGGACTCATAGTGGGCAAAGGAATGGTTGCCAGTGAAGTCCTCCAGCTCCACCCGCAGCTCCCAGGTACCTGGGGGGAAGAAGGAGGCGCGGATGGAGGAACCCTCAGATTCAGGGTGAGGATTCCGAGTGCCGGAGAAATACCCCCCGAACTCCCTGGGCCCTGCTGGGAATTTACCCTGAGCAGTGAGAGGGTGCAGATTCTCATTCCCCAGCCAGAATTCGGACTCCTGGCTTCCGAAACCTGCTTTGTAGGAGGCCCAAGAGCAGAAGAAATCCACGGACCCATCCTGTCACTTCTGGAACACCTAAAGAGGCAGAGAAGGCCAGCACAGAGGCCATTGCTCCAGGCTGGGCAGGACATGAGGAGAAGATGGGGTGGGGGGGGTGGCAGTGGAGAGTGGATGCCCTGTGAGGGGTGGGTGGACACCTGCCCCCTCTTTGGATTGGGGGTTTGTTGATAACGTGTGAGTCCAAGTGACCTTTGTTTTTATTTCTTGAAGATTTTTATTTTTTTAAGTTAATCTCTCCACCCAATGTGGGTTTGAACTCACAACCCCCGAGATCAAGAGTTGCATGCTCCACTGACTGAGCCAGCCAGGCGCTCCAATCCTTGCCTGTGAATAGTGAGGAACTCCACATGCCCTTGCTAATTTCAACTGACACTCAACCTCTTGCCAAAGCCTTGCAAGTTCCGGGGAGACTGAAATGATAGGAACATCATCTCTGAGTCAGATCAAAGTAACCTGCTTTTAGGGGCGCCTGGGTGGCTCAGTCAGTTAAGTGTCCAACTTTGGCTCAGGTCATGATCTCACGGTTTGTGGGTTCGAGCCCCACGTTGGGCTCTGTGCTGACAGCCAGCTCGGAGCTTGGAGCCTGTTTCAGATTCTGTGTCTTCCTCTCTCTCTGACCCTCCCCTGCTCACGCTGTATCTCTCTCTCTCTCTCTCTCAGAAATAGATAAAAAACATTAAAAAAAATTAAAATAACCTGCTTTAATTTACTATGGGAATCAAGATAATAGACCAGAAGGGTCACCCCCAGAGGCCCAAGCTGCAGTCCTGGCCTTACCCTGATGCCCCTCGGCCCCCACTGCGGGCTAAGCTGTCCTCACGCCCGGCAGTGTCCCTCCTCAGTATCCTTCAGTCTAAGCACCTTTCCTTCCAGTGTGGCCCAGGCCCCTTCATTTCCCCTAACCTGTGTCCCTGCCTCCATTCTATCCCCCACCGCCATGCACCTTCCATGCTGCAGCCTGAGTCTTTTCCCTACAACATAAGTCTGTACACTCCTGCCATCTCATACCCTCCTGCCTTCCTGTGTGTTTGTCTTTCCCTCTACTGGGATGCCCTTCAGTTCCTCATCTATATAGGGAGCTTCTATACAGCCTTCAAGGCCCTTTCAAATGGCATCTCCTCTGAGGAGCCTGCTCAGATTTCTTCTGGCCCTCTGGGAGCTCAGTAAGCATTGGTCATTGAAGGGTCTCAAGGAATGCCTTAGCTCCAGTGGGCTCTGGCTCCCCCTAGGGGCCAAGAGGAAGAAGTGCCCACTGGGCCAGCCTCGAAGCCCTGGAGTCTCCCTGACACTCACCAGCCAGCCGCCCTCTTTGGTGTCCAAGTCACAAAAAACTGGAAGGGCTCTGCCCTTGAGTAGGCATAGATGGTACCAGCCGCTCAACATGGCACCCCAGCTCAGCAGCTCCTGGCAGTTTCTGGGGCCTGGGGAAGGGGATATGGGCTGAGAGGTGTTGCCACAGTATCTTCCAACCCTCACCCTGCAGGCAGTGGAACAGGCCAAGTGTGGGACCCCAGGAACCCTCTCAATGGCTCCTGAAGAGGGGCTCTACACAGGGCTGGGCCATACCTGGCGGCCGACCAACACCCCAGCACCGCCTGATGCCAAGCTCCTGGCTCCTGGGAAGGCTGCCTCACCCTCCTGGCACCGAAGCAGATTCGCTGGGTCTCCTGCCCCAAGGAAAGACAGAGTGTTGGATCTGAGGTCTGAGAACTCCCAAGAGAGGGCCCGCAAACCCGAGGCGAGGGTACCCAGGCCCCTCTCCTAATCCTCCCCTCCTTTCCCAACCTTCCACCCCCAGTAGGGCGAGCGCAGGGGATTGCTCTTGAACAGCCGCCAAGTAGAGTCACCCCTCTCTAGTCCAGGGACAGAAGCAAAGAAAGCAGAGGAGGTCCATGATCCCACACACTCACCAGGCTCACCCTTTGGGCCCATCTTGCCTGGTGGTCCAGGCTGCCCTGAAATCCCAGAGATCGAGGTGACCTAAGTCCCATCCCGTGCCCAGAGCCAAAAGACAATGAGTGACTTGGAGCCAGAAGTCAAATCCCAGCTGCAGTCCTTACTGGCTCTGTGATCACGGGCACGCAGTTTATCATCTCTGAGCCTCACACCCCCCTCAGCAAAATGGGGGTAGAACAGCTACCTCATAGAGTCAAACTTGGGGTGCTGGGTGTCAAGCAGGGGCCTGGCACACGTTAGGTTCCTTGCCCCTTGGTCATGACCTCTCAGCATAGACAGCAGCCAGTCGTCGCATCCCCAGTCTGCCCAGTTCACTCTGGGTCCCTGCCTGCTTCCCGGCATCTCTCACCTTGAGGGCCTAAAGCTCCTTTCTCCCCAGGACTTCCTGGGGCTCCAGGACAACTGGGCAGGAGGACCACTTTGCTGGCTTCCAGTTTTCTGGGTTCTGCAGGAAGACGCAGGGCCGGGTCATGGGGGAGTGGGCATGGGGGAGTGGGTATATCTTCTCCAGACCCCTCCTCCGTTCTCTTTCTCCATCTCCCAGATTCTAGCTATCGGGACCCTTGCTTCCAAAGCTGTACCATTTGCATCAATTTGCATACATTTACAGTGCAGAGCCCAGGTTATCAACCCCCCACGCTGTTCCTTGCGGCTCATGAGGCTGGGTGGGAGACGGAACCTCAGGGAAGGAGTGAGTGAGGGTGGGTAGGTGGGTGGGGAGAGCATCTTAGGCCGCTACCTAGGCAGCTGGGGTGGTCCTGGGTCCTTAGGCAGGCGGGCCTCCCAACCAATAGGAGCAAAAGTGAGAGTGGAGTCCACAGTAGGCCCATCGTGCTGGTGCCCCAGAGGGAGGATGCCAGGTTATAAGGGGGGCCAAGCTGGTGGGAGAACACGGAGCAAGACTTCCTCCCATTGTTCCTCCCAAGGGACACTCCCCCACCCCCCACCCTCCAGGCTGGAGCCAGCAGGAGGTGGAGGCATTTCCTCCCTCAGCCCTGGAGACCAGGATGGAGTCCAACTTTTGACCTTGGCCTCCAGGGCTCTGCAGCCATCTCTCCAGACCTCTGGATCCACATAGGCTTTTTCTGCCTCTGAACTTTTGCTCGTTCTTTGCCTTCCATCTGGAATGCCCTCCTCTCCATCTCTACCTGGGAAGCCCCACCTATCTGGTGAAGGTCCAGCCCGAACACCGTCTCCTCCAGGAGTCCTTCCCTGGTCCTTGTCAAGTGTTAAGAATGACTATGGCTTGGGGCAGCTGGGTGGCTCAGTCAGTTAAGCATCAGACTTCAGCTCAGGTCCTGATCTCACAGTTTGTGGGTTTGAGCCCCGTGTCAGGCTCTGTGCTGACAGCTCGGAGCCTGGAGCCTGCTTCAGATTCTGTCTCCCTCTCTCTCTGCCCCTCCCCGACTCACACTCTCTCAAATATAAACAAACATTAAAAAAATTTTTTTAAATGACCACAGCTACCATTTGTTGGGCACTTACTGCACTCCACAAGTCCTGCTGGGTGCGGTTTGTACGTTGCCTCCGGTCCTTACACAGCCCAGCTCATAGTCATTATTGGCCCTGGGTTATAGGCTTGGCACAAAGCAAGTGCTCAATAAATACTGGTTAAAGGAATGAATAAACAAGGGGGAAATGAGGCCCAGAGGCAGGACATGGCTTGTGCACTATCTGGCACTTATATGCCCTGGGCCCACAGAGATTCTGCCCAAGACCCCCACCAGGGAGAGGTACTCTTGACAAAGTGACTTCATACCCACTCTCATACCCACTCTCCTGGGGGGGGCCCTGGCAGGGCTTAGGAATAGTCACTAATACAGGCAGACCATTGAGTGGGTAGACTGTGCACGGCAGGTCTGGAGGCTAGGAGGCCAGTGAGGGGGCAGTAGCCACAGTCCAGATGTGAGGGCTGACGACTGAGCTGAGAGGGACCTCAGGTGATAGGAAATCAGAGGAAGGCTCATTTGCTTATTTGTCCACTCATCCATTCACTCATTCATTCATTCATCAAACCTTCCCTGGAAGCCTTCTCTTCTCAGTGCTTGAAGGGACAGGAGGGCGGGGGTACAAAAGGGGTGTCAGAGAAGGTGGAGGCCGAGTTTGTCAGACAGGAAGGATCCATGAGATGGACTCTGAGATCCTGAAATTCCAATTCAAGGGCTCTCTCCTCCCCAAACTCTTCCACAGGTGTGCTAAGGTTTGCAGACAAGCATATTTATCATGTGCTGTTCATAATAAAAAAAAAAAAATTTAAGTTTATTTATTTTGAGAGAGAGAGAGAATAAGGGGGCAGAGGGCAGAGAGAGTGAGGTAGAGAGAGAATCCCAGGCATGCTCCACGCTGTCATCAGGGAGCCCAACTCAGGGCTCTAACTCAGGAACCATGAGATCATGACCTGAGCCAAAATCAAGAGCTGGACGCTTAACCGACTGAGCCACCCAGGTGCCCCTGAAGCATAATTATTTCCGGGGAGTGGGACCAAGGGGAAAGTGTTTCTCACTCTTTATATAGAAAATTTGGTACAGTCCTTTTGTTTTTTACAGGCATTGACCACTTTGGAAAAAGCAACCATCCAAAAGAAATTTCCTTAACTGACTGTAGAATCAGGAGGAGGTGGGGGTATTTCCTCTCTCAGCTCTGGAAAGGATGGGCATTATCCCTGCCAGCACTAAGTGCTGGCTGCAGAAGCCAAGGGAGGGCAATCCGGGCTGGAGAAACTGTGTACAAAGGCTTGGAGGAGAGAGAAAGCCAGACAGGCTGAGAACAAGAGGCAGATCCGAGTATGGAGAAAGGGGTGCTCCAAGGGGAGGCTGATGGCTGATGAGATGGGGGCTTTGATGCCATCACTTTGATGGAAGTGAGTGTGGAAGGGGAGAGGCGAGGAGGTGACTGTTAGGCATGTCGATGGTGGCACGAGTGGGCAGGTGAGCTCCCTGCGAGGCCACGGAGGAGCCGGAACTGCTGCGGGCCCCAGGGTCCCGCAGTGCCCTTCCAGCTGGCGTGCGGGGAGGCTGGGCCTGGGGCAGGAAGTAGCGCGAAGGTTGTGGGGTGATGGCGTCCGGAATGCGGATGGAACATGTGCATCTGCTCTGAATCTTCCCCACATCCCACTGACACGGACACTGCTGTACAGATGGGGAAGCAGGGCCAGAGCCGGGAAATAACCTCCTCCAGTTCACACAGAGCAGTCAGGCTCCAGCGGCTGACCTCGCCTCCATCACCCTCTATGGCCTCTCCACTCGGCTTCCTAGGACGATCATGGGATGAGATCAGATAACGCCGTCAGACTCTTAGCCACACGCCCTGTTTCCAGCAAGCGCCCCAGCAGTGGGAGATATTATCAGTCAGGGAAGACTTCTGGGCGGAGGTGGGGTTAAGTGGGGGTGGGGGGGAGGTGGGTATGGGAGGGCGGGGGCTTTCCAAGATGGCCCCAGTGAGTAAGGCCACAAGTACATAAAGGGCTGTTGAGGCCTCAGGGCCTCTCCACCTTGGCACTGGGGCAGAGACCTACCTTTAGGAGCCGAGAGAGCCACGTTAAACACATATGACAAATGAAAATATTTTAAAAGATGACGGTAACAGTCCAAGGTTGCATTCTCATTAAGGAGAGGACAACAGCTGCACCCCAGCCCCAACAAATCCACACAGCCCAAGGCACAGGACGTGAAGCACAGTGCTGGAGAGAATTCCTTTATTTGGGGGGCAGTGCCAGGCCAGGTGGGTGGGAGGAGGCAGGCACAGAGCCCGTGCCAGGCAGGGGGCCCATAGGGATGATGGATAAGATGGGAGGTGGTTGAAGGATGCTCTCAGCTGCAGGTACCAGGCCCAGGACAGGAGGGGATGTCAGCTGTCAGGCACTGAGCCTGTTTAATGCCCACAGGGGCCAGAAATTGGTGGCCAAAGTTTGTCCCGCCCCCAGCGCCTCTACAAGGGGGTCAAGAGGGCAGCCTCTTCGTCCTCCTTCCCCTCAGGGTGGAATCCAGGCCTGAAGGGGGTCAGATGCTGCAGAGGCCAGACAGAGAGGGCACTCAGGCCAGTGGCCCTGCCTCAGCTGGGGCTGAGGACCCCCACCCCCAGGAAGCAGGCAGTGGCCGGAAGAGCATACTTTAATGGAGGCTGCAGCAACCCGCCCCACCGCACACACGGCACGGCACACGGGGGCCCTCAGGGCAGCTCCCCTTCCTAGAGGAAAACCAAACCGCACACACATCCCAGGCTCCTGCCTGCGGCCACAGAGCTGCAGAACGAAGGCTTGCCTGGGCTCTCACCTACTGGTTCTCCTCTCTGCTGGCAGCATGAGGGAAAAGACAGATGGGCTCAGTCGGGCTCTCAGACACAGGGCGCAGGCTGAGTCCCGGCCCCAGCCACCAAGGGGCAGAGAGAACCCCACAAGTTGAGGAGAAGTGTGGCTCACATGGGTGACTTTGGGAGGAAGACACTGCCCTTCATGCTGCCCCATTGAGACGCCAGTGCACTGGCACTAAAGGGGACCCAAAGGGCAAGAGCGGGGTGGGGGAAGGGAGCTGGGACCCTGCTGGCGGGCCAGGTACTCACAGTGTCTGGTAGGTGCTGTCCTTGGCCTTGAGGAAGCGCAAGACGAAGAAGGCCGCTGCCTGCAGGCTCAGCACGAGCACGACGCCCCCAACGAAGCTGGCCCCATCAAAGCCAGGACCGTGGGCCTCAGGGACCGGGGGGCTCCCTGCAGGGTGCAGGTCATAGCAGGCCACTGGGGACCCGGATCCTAGCCCTACCCCAATAACCAGCACAGGTCACTTGGAGGCCCCAGTCCTCACAATGGGAGCCTTGAACAGCAGGCGGCCTTGAGCAAGGATCCTGTGGGCAGTTGGGAAGCACGTGGTGGGAGGGGCAGTGTCTGGCAGGGGAGGGTGAGGCCTTGGCTCCAGCCCTGGCTCTGCTCCCAATTGCTCCGTGGCTTGATGTCTTTCACATCCTCTCTGGGCCTCAGGATCACATGGTCCTGATAGCAATGAGCTCCCTTCCAGCCCCTCTACCCCACACTGGCCAGGTAGGGTAAGCGTAGACCCAGAATTAGGGCATCTGGAGCCCTTCTGCTCAGAGTTTCTTTTGGCCTCGGGTCTCAGGGTTCAAAGACCAGATACAGATGACATAGTCCCTTTTCAGGACTCCGAAGTCCCCAGACCCTGGAGTCACCCAACATCAGAGCCCTTAGAGAAGGAAGAAGGGGAGGCCCACACCTTACCAAGCGAGTCAATGGAGACTAGATGATGTAATTCAGAAGGAGAAGCTGGGTTCTGGGGGTGAGACTTGTCCAGTCACCTCACAGTTAAGACAGAGCCAGTCTCACAGCATCCCCTGACCTCTTTCCCTGCCCTGTCTTAGGGCCCATGTTCCCAAGCTGTCTGGGTGCCTCCCAGCTGTGCCATGTTAGCCATCAACTCCCACCAGGGATTCGATTTCAGGCCCTAGGCCAGGTGGCAGGGCAGGGCAGGGGGTAGATCATTCTGGGGCAGTGGAGAGGGGGCCAGCTAGGAGCTGGGTCCACCTCCTGGAGGGGTACAGCTTGTGTAAGGGGATCGGAGAATATGAAGGGCAAAGGGGGTCCCAGCTACAGCTCAGGGAGCCCCAGAGAAGGACACTGGGGCAGGAGGAGAGGGAAGAAATGAGCTGCCCAAGGCCGATCTGGGGCTTAGCCAGAGGGAGCTGGGTCATCAATAATTCAGCCTCCAAGATCAAGTTTCTGGCTTTAATTAACCAAAAGCCTCTGCAGCCATCCCTACCAAGCGGGGTGACCTGCAGGCCCTGAGGGGCAGTGGGAACCAAGGGGCAGAGTTCTTGCTTCTGCTCTGCCAGGAGCCTGCTTTGAGACCCTCTCTGGACCTGGGGGTGGGGGTGTGCAGTAGGTAGGTAGTCACTGAGCTACAGCTCATTGGCAACCTGAACCACACACCCTTCAACACCAAGGGCAGGTCCTGAGAGGGTCAGCCTGAGCTCCCAGAGCTGGTGGTGCTGGGGGAGGGGGCGGGAACCATTATTTCCTGATTTCCTGATAGTTTCTATGTGTCAGACACTGAACTAGGCGCGGTACACCTGCTCATAAAATCCTTGCGGCAACTCTGTGAGGTATTACCCAGCCCATTTTACAGATGTGGAAACTTCTCCTTGTCAGCAGGAGAAGTCACAGGGCTGAGGTCACAGAGCATGTGGTGCCTGAGCCCAGCTCTGTCCTGTCTGGCACCTCTAGTCCTCCCGCCGCTACCATTCTCCCAGGTAGCACCTACCTGTTGTGACCGCCTTTGGTTCATAGGTGGGGTGGTGGTGGGCAGCTGGAAAGACAAGGGAACCCATACTAAACCAGCCCTCCCATTCCCTGAGTCCCACCAAGACCCCAGCCCAGGCCAACAGCTGGACTTCTGACTCAGATCAGGCTCCCTGTTCCAGGTCCAGGTCCACCTGACATACTTTCAAGCCTTAGTTCACACAGCTCTCTCTCCATCTCTGCCTTTAATGGCCATCTCTGTTGCCCTCCCTCCAAAAAGCCCTCCCGCCCCACTCCCTTCTGAACTTCTGATTCTGAAGTCCTGTGTTTTAAATTGGACAAGATAACTCCTCCATCCCCTCTACACATCTGTCCTGGACCCCCTGGCCGTGCCAGTTTTCAGATGGGAAAACAGGCCAGAAAGGGGAAGGGACTTCTCAGCGAGCTAAAGACAGATATGCAAGTGGACCCAGGTGTTCGTGGGCACAGTCTCCTCCCAGATACAGATGATATCGTCCCTTTTCAGGGCTCCTAAGTCCCCAGACCCTGGAGTCACTGTAGACCCTGGAGAGAGGCTGATTTCCTTCCAGAAGGGCGGGCTCTGGCTTGGGGACACCTCAGTCTCCTCTCTCCAACTTAAGTCAGCGGGAGTCCCCTTACCTGGACACGACTCTGAGCGGTTGTAGACAGAGCAACCTTCCTTGACCACCTCAGCTCGGGCCACACAGTGTCCTGGTGGGAGAAGGTGTCAGGGAGAGATCTGGGGAGAGGGGCCAAGGCTCTGAGGTGCAGAACTGGGGGCACTTGGGGAGGGCCCAACTCCATACCTGGTTCTTCTGGCTGACACTGCTCCCACACACAGCCCGAGATGTTGTGTGCTTTGTGCCCCTCCACACAATGCTCACAGAGCTTGAACTGTTTGCAGGCCCCCTGGACAGCTGGCCAGATGTTCATGCGGAGCAAGGCTCCCCGCCCAAAGCCTCGAGCTCCTTTACCTGGGAGTGGGAGCAAGTCCTTGAAACTGAGCTGCAGCGCCCCCCTTCCCCACTACTGTGGCTCTCACCCCTTTGCATACATACACTCACCTGGATCCCCTAAGCCCCACTACACACCTGGAGTTTCCACAAACACATGGTTACACACACCCCCAACCTTCCCCGCATTCACCCAGAGTCCCCCTCCTGTGCATACACCTGGGTTTCCCTGACACATGTGGAGCTGCTGCCTGCCGCCAGACACACCTGAAGCCCGTAATCCCGAACGCCTGGAGCCTATGACATACTCGTAGCTCTCCACACAGGGCTAGAAGCCCCTTCAACCACCCCTAGAGCCCCGAACTCGTCTGGAAAGTCCCCTCCTGTCCCCCAACCCCAGCCCAGACTGCTCCAGAACAGGCGGCTGGATGAAGCACCCGCTCCCCCTGCCCGGGCTGGGCCCTCAACCAGACTCTGGTCCGCGTTACCAGCCATAGCGAGCTGGGCACACAGGAGGAGGCAGCAGCAGCCACCACAGAGCGCGGCCCGTAAGGCGCTGGGTCCCGGCGCGGCCATGGGCGGGGCGGGGGCTGGGGGTCAGCGGAGAGCTGGTGAAATGCGTCCCTCCCGGACTCGGCTCCGCTGGGCTGTGGGGAGCGAGACCCAGGCAACCTGGGCGTGGCCTGGTGGGCGTGGCCATTCCGGGGGCGGAGCCAGTGGCGCCGCCGGGGTGGGGCCCGATCGTCGGAGGCGGGGCCAGATAGGGGCGTGGCTAACGGGCGCCGCCAGGTGGAACTCAGTTCGGCGATCTGGGGCGGGGCTCGGACAAAAGGGGGAGGGATCTAACGCTAGCAGCACACCTGGCCCTGGAAGCCCCCACCAACAGTTACAGGAAAGCTCTGCTCAGTAGAGAATTATTATCCCTACTTCACAGGTGAGGAAATAGGGCTCAGAAAAGATGAATGGGTAGGCGGGAGGTCACAGTGGCAAAATCGATTCCAAGTGTAATCACGTCCACGCAGACCGGTCTTTGTCGAAAGAACCCCACCAACCACGCCCCACGACTGGGGGACTGGCTTCATCTGGCCCCTAGGCTCTAGCTGCCCACCTTGCCTCACCCCTGGCATCCTACTCTCTTCTGCCCCTCAGCCTCCCACGTCTGCCTCCAACCCACCACACCCTCTGGTTTCATTATTAGTAGGCCGTTTGGAACTTTACACAGACTTTCCCTCAGAACCTCAACTCCTGCCCTGGCACCCGCTTCTTCTGGTTCTGCCCCCTCTGTGGGTACTTCTCAGGTTCCTCAGACTGCGCCTCCTCTTTTTCTTTCCCCCCTCTTTTCATGTCTACTCTCTTTCTTTCCTTTCTCTGATGCTGCTTTTCCTCTTTCCCTCTCTTCTTCCCCGGGGGCCTGGTTCTTTCCTGAGCCTTAGTCCACCCCCACCCCCACCCACCTGGGGCCATTTTGGCCATTCCTCTGCCATTAGTTCCCATCCGAAAGCTATCAGGTCTCATATCTCCAGCTCCAGCTTCCTCCCCAGCTGCCACCTGTAACTATAATACATAGTTCACACTACTGACCTCTTGTTATTCGCAGGATATACATTCCACTAAGAGCTGTTACTTGCAGCTTCTCACTTAATGTCCACAACTACCCTCTAGGCATGGGTTTTGTTAGCCCCAATCTGTGAGCTTTGGAGGTAAAATCTGGGGCACCTGGCTGGCTCAGGCAGAAGAGCAAGTGGTTCTTGATCTCAGGGTCGTGAGTTCAAGCCCCATATTGGATGTAGAGATTACTAAAAATAAATAAAGTTAAAAAAAAAGCAAAATCACCTGCTCGGGGGCACATGGTTAAAAAGAGGGGGGTCAGGATGTGAGCCCAGGGTCCAGTGGGTCCATCTGCTTCGTGGGCACCTCCACCTGAGTCTGCCTCAGGACTCTGAAACTGCCCTGTTTCTCTTCCCCACTCAGGGAAGCCCCTGAATGGACACCAAGATCTCATTTCCACCCCCTTTCTCTGTCTCAGCCACATCAACTCTCCCTTTTCAGAGACTTCATACTGCCTTGCCTTCTCCTTGAAACTCTTCTTTTTTCTCTTCAAATGTCTTGTTCCATGACCTCCCTACTTAAAAGACAGCTCCTGGTTATTCTACATGCTACTTCCTTTTTCCTTCAGGATGTGTATCATATGTATAACGAATTACTCTTTTGTGTCCTAGGCTATAATTTCTATGAAGGGAGAAACCATGTTTATCTTCTCCTGTAGTTCCCCATACACGCAAGGGCTAAGTAGGTGTTTATTAAATAGCCATATTGTATCATGTTGTGACTGTGTACGTTTGTCCTTCTGGTCTGTGAGCCCCTCAAGGGCCCCCTAGTTAATATCATATTAAGTCTCTATTTATAGATGGTCCATCTTTCCCCCATCAGAATGGAAGCTCTGTGAAGAAGCCAAAGATTTTTGTTCATTGCTGTATCCTCTGTGCTAGAACCATGCCTGGAAAATGGCACAATGCTCAACAAATATTTATTGCATGTTGAAAATACAGGGATGTGGGGGTGACTGTTTGGCTCAGGTGGTAGGGCATGCAACTCTTGATCTCAGGGTTGTGTTTGAGCCCCATGCGTGGCATGGAGTTTACTTACTTTTTTTTTTTTTTTTTTAAAGAGAGAGAAATAAAATGCAGGAATGTGGCCAGATCGTCTCTTTGGCCATAGCACCCACTCAAAGCCCGGGGAATTTTCAGTGAATACTGGCTGAATGAACAAATGGGTCTGTGCTAAGAATGTGTGTACTGATGATGCCCAGATCCTTGGGGCTCAGGCAGGGAGCTTGTGTGATTGTTATCTGTGCCTCAGACACACATACATCTCCCATGAGAGCCTAGGCCCATGGGATTCCCCAGACTGAAGAGAGAATGGTAAAGGAAGAAGTCTTACCTGGAGGCTAGTGCTCACAGCCATCTGGTGGTCACCTGGGGAACTGCAGGTATTGTCAGCCCTGGTTAAACTTCACTCCCCGCCCCTTCAGGGGGAGATGGTGTTGTTTAGGATAGAATGGAAGGCACAGTGGATTTGGTTACACACACACTGGTTTCAGATCCCAGCTCTGCCATCTACTGTGTGATTTGGGGCAAGTCCTTCAGCTTCTTTAGACCTCATCTATGAAATGGGGATGCAGGGGTGTGGTAAGCCCTGGGATCTAGTCTGGCACCTGGTAGGTGGGAAGGACTGGACAGGGTATCAGTGGTGGGAAGGAAGCAAGGAGGTATGGCAGAGGGCATGAGGAGGAAAGAAGAGGAAGGGCTGCAGATAGGAGCCCTTTAGGGAAGAGAGACCCAGTTGGCAGTGATGGCTTCCATTGTTTCTTTGACATAGGGCAGTTTGGAGCATGGAGAGAGTGCCCATGTGAAAATCTGTAACTTTGCTTGAGTTTCTTGGGTCTCTGGAGTTTCTTTTTTTTATTATTATTTTTTTTTAAATTTTTTTTTAATGTTTTATTTATTTCTAGGAGAGAGAGAGAGTGTGAGCAGGGGAGGGTCAGAGAGAGAGGAGTCACAGACTGAAACAGGCTCCAGGCTCTGAGCTGGCAGTCAGCACAGAGCCCGACGCGGGGCTCGAACCCATGAACCGCGAGATCATGACCTAAGCGAAAGTCGGATGCTTAACCGACTAAGCCACCCAGGCACCCCGGGTCTCTGGAGTTTCTTGTGACTAGAAATATCACTGCGCTCTTTTCCTTCCTGGTTGCCTGAGGATCAACTTCCATCTTGAATGACATTGTAACTCTATGGATCAAGACTTCTACCCAACCAACTACTTCAGTGGAAACATGGTTACTGACGTTCTTCACCCGGAGAAGGAAACAGTACCTAAGCAGAACTTTGAGAAAAACTAGCCAAATGTACAAGACTATACCAGATGTCATCTTTAAAAAAATTTTTTTTTAATGTTTATTTATTTGAGAGAGAGAGAATCCAAAGCAAGCTCCAGTCTGTGAGCTGTCAGCACAGAGCCCGACGCAGGGCTGGAGCTCACCAATTGCGAGATCACAACCCAAACCTAAGTCCGACGCTTAACCCACTGAGCCACCCAGGCACCCCAAATGTCATCTTTATATTTCAAGTCAGAGCCCATTTTGGTGGTGGCACAATGGGCTTGGGCATGATTTACAATTCCTTGGATTATGCAAAGAAAAATTAACCCAGAGATAGCCTTGCAAAACCTCAAGAAAAGACCTCAAGAAAGCAGCGAATAGCACATGAGAACAGAATGAAGAAAGTCAGGTTGCCATACAGATCAATGTTGGTGTAGACAAAAGCAAGTAGCAAAGATTCTGCAATGACTGTCTGTGGTGATTGTGCAGACTTTTCGTGAGAGGATTAATAAGCTATGAAAATTTTTTCCTTTTTTTAATGTCTGAGAGAGCACGTGCATGTGTGCATGTGGAAGTGGGGGAGGGGCAGAGAAGGAGGGGAGACAGAGAATCCCAAGCCGATCCACACTGTGAGTGCACAGCCTGATGTGGGGCTCAAACCCACTAACCGCAAGATCATGACCTGAGCCGAGAACAAGAGTGGGCTGCTTAACCGGCTGAGCCACCCAGGTGCCTCTAGTTATTTATTTTGAGGTGGGGGCGGGGGGGAGAATGCAAGTGAGTGAACAGGGGAGGGGCAGAGAGAAAGGAGAGAATCCTAAGCAGGCTCTGCACTGTCAGCAAAGAGCCCAATGCGGGGCTCAATCTCATGAACCCATGAGATCACGACCTGAATGGAAATCAAGAGTTGGGAGCGTAACTGACTGAAGCACCCAGGCGCCTTTTTAATGTTTATTTGTGAAAAAAAAGTTTGAAGAACTATATAACTTTACTCAGAATGACAGAAGACAGGGGTGCCTGGGTGGCTCAGTTGGTTAAGCGTCTGACTTCTGCTCAGGCCATGATCTCGAAGTTGGTGAGTTTGAGCCCTGCGTCGGGCTCTGTGCGGGCAGCTCAGAGCCTGGAGCCGGTTTCAGATTCCGTGTCTCCCTCTCTCTCTGACCCTCCCCTGCTCACACTGTCTCTGTCTCAAAAACAAATAAACTACAAAAAAAAAAAAAAAAAGAATGACGGAAGATAGTCCCTCATACCACTCTTTCCTGCCAACCTCCCAGCCTCTTTACCCATACCCCCTGGGTGGTTGTTGGGACCCAGGTCTGAGGGGGGAGAGAGCAGACACCTCACCTGAGTCTGAAGGACTGATGGCCCTGCATTCTCTCTCTATGGCGACCCTACCTTTCTTGCAAGTGTGCCTATCATTCATCTCCTCTTTCTCTTGATGCTGCTTTTTACTTTAACCATCCAATCAACAAGTATTTGTAGAACACCTATTATATGTCAGGTTCTGTTCTCCGCACAGAACAGAACAAAGTCTCTACCTTCGTGAAGCTTATATTCTGGTGGGGCTGACCTGTAGTAAAATAGGAATACATGAATAAACATATAATTTAAGGAGTGCTTAGTGCCCTGAAAAACAAGAAATCAAGGAAAGTGGGAGAAGTGTGATGGGGGGAGGGGTAATCTAGGACAGACATCAGGGAAGAAGAAGAGACTTGAAGGCAAAGGCCTGAATGAAGTGAAGGGGTTCTAGGCAGAGGGAAGAACTTTGCAAGGACACCCTCATCCACAGGTTGTGCCCTCAGTGGCCATGTTCCCTGAGGCTTTTCTCCTCATTCTCTGCTCCCGCCCCTGCATGATATCATCTGCCCCTAGAACTTCGATTATTACCTGCATACCTATGCCTCCCAGGTGCCTCCTGCTGCCAGGCAGACTCTTGGTAGCCCACACAGCTGGTGCTGATATCGTGCCAGGCCCTCCCAATAGGCCCTGTGGCTTCCTTAACGGCTAACCTGACCCCTCCCTCCACCCCCATCCCACAGGCCTGGATGGTTCCACTGAGGATCAAAGCTAGAGACAGAAGAAGGAGAAGCAGCCAGTTCCTCTCCCCCTGGGCACATCTGGCACATCTGGGAAAGTCAGCTGGCATGGTGTATGTCCCTGGGACAAAGGACGGGCAGGGCCCGGGAAGACGGAGCCCCTTCTCCGTGCACACCCACCCCCAAACCAGGATGCCTAAGACGGGGAGATCAAGAGGGGCCTCCCCAGGGGACTGAGCTGCCAGGTTTTCTGCGTCCAAGTTCTTCCCGGCTCCCCTTCTGCTGCTTCGGGGAAGTTCCCCCCCCTGCTTTCCAGATCCTTGAATAAATAATTCAGGTTTTGAAATCTTGCCAGACCCGCCCCTCCCGTGCTGGGAGGGCGCTATTGGGCTGACATGAGTGACGTCACCCAACTCCTTATTCCAGCCCCCACATCACGAGGACCTGCCCTGACAGCAACTCACCTGCCTGGTCACTGTCAGTCTAGACCATCTACCCTGTCCCTCTCACCCTGGGGCCCGTTCACCACAGTCACCTGGTCTCTTCATTCCAGGACCTTACAACCCTCTTCTCTTTGTTTTGTCACCTCAGTACCTCAGCACTTGTGACAGGGTCATGATGACCCGAACTCCTATCATCTGGACACTCTATCTTCCCTTTCCCGCACCAAGGCCTCTGCCACCCTGGGATCCCTGAGCCCCATCATGTCAGTCACCTGACACTGCTATGGTTGCCCTGGGGGCTTCCCTTTCTATGGCAGCGTCCCATGGCCACCATCCTCCAAGATCCTGTCACCATGCTCATACTGTCGCTGCCACCCACTTCCCTGCTCCCTCGTTCTGCTGTCACCATCTCCTCAGGGCCCAGTCATCTGGGCAACCCTCGTCATCCTCGCCGAGGACGCCCATTCAGCTTCATCACTCGGTCTCCGTCACCCCAATTCCGTCCGTCTCTGCCACCTGAGGGTCCCATCAGGCCACAGCCTTTCCGGGGCCCCTTTCTGCTCTCCCTACGTATCGCCCGCAGCCTCCCTGCGACTTCTCCGAGAGTCTCCCACCAGCGTCCCCCGAAACCCCGGCCCGCAGAGGGCGCCGCGTCAAGGACAGCGCGGGCCGATTGGGGAGGGGGCGGGGCCGCGGCCACGGTCGCTTTTTATGAATGGGGGAGCGGGCGGTGCGAGGCCTCATTACTATGCCGCGCGACGCGCGCTGCGCCCCAGCGCGACGCACTCATTGGCCGGCCGGGCCACTGACGTCACCGAACCGGTGGCCGGGGGCGGGTCGGGGCGGGGTGACTCACGCCGCTTCTCCCGCGGCCGCGGGGGCTTCTCCGGGTCCGCGCACACCCTGCGCCGCCCGGACCCGAGCAGAGCTTCCCCGCGGCCCGGCCACGCCAAGTCCCGAGAGGTGAGTAGCGGGCCCCGTGCAGGCACCAGGCGTCTGGAAGGGCACGCAGGATGCTGGGGCACTGGGCCCGCGGACAGGTTCCCAGCGGCTGGCGGAGGTCGGAGGTCGAGACCCCGAGCCCAGAATCTGAAGTAGCAGGCGGGAACCCAGTGTCCGGGTGCTGAGAGCCGTCAGCTGGGTGACCCCGCGCGGGGTGCGCACTCCTCCAAGGTCCCGAGGCCCTGAAGGGACTGATGGTCCTATGAGATTGGGCCTGCAGGAGGCATCTGGGGGAGGGACCCAGGCGTCCGAGCAGGAGGCGGTGTCTGACATAGGGATCCTGACTTACGGGCAGGATGTGGAGTCAGGCCCAAGATTCAGGTGTCCGGGCATAAGGAGGGGTCTGACTCAGGGATCCAGGCCTCCAGCAGAGGGTGTCTGTTCCAAAGACCCAGAGGTTCAGGCAGAAATAGGGGTCTGGCGAGGACAGAAGTCTGGGCCGGTGTATGTCGGGGGTGGGGCTGAGTTCCCAGGTGGTGATACCCCAGGAGTGGCCAGTGGGGGCTGGCAGGAGCTTCACGCGCATTCCCTGGGGGCGGAGCCTGGGGCGGGCAGTGCGGAGAATCGTGAGGGGTCTGGCGAGCCTCAGAAACTGAGCGTCATCCTGATCCAGAGGAAGCAGAGCTTCCCTCAGTCCAGAGATGTTTCCCTTCCCCAGTTCTGGGCCTACCTGGCATCTTCTGGATCCTATGGGCCCCCATCCACTAACGGTAGTCCTTCATCTGGTTCTTTTCTGGTCACACACATGGGAGAAAGAGGCCTGCAGGACCCAGGGACTTGGAAGGGAGAGTGAAAAGACCCAGGGGACTGGGGTCTGCTGGAGACCTAGTGGCCTGGGGGTGTGGATGTGGGGGAGACAAAGGCATACCCGAAGGAGCACTGGGGCATGACTGGGGGACAAGGCACTGGGACCCAGCCAGCTATCCTGAGGAGATACTCTTACAACGTATCCTGAGTGGCACCTCATCCCCTCTAGACCCCTTCACCCAGCACCCTGCCCTGCCGACTTCTCACAGGGCCTTTCTCCTACAGGTACCACGATGTGGGGTGCAGGCAGCCCCCTGGCCTGGCTCTCCGCTGGTTCAGGCAACGTGAATGTGAGCAGCGTGGGCTCAGCAGAGGGGCCCACAGGCCCAGGCGCTCCGCTACCCTCACCCAAGGCCTGGGATGTGGTGCTGTGCATCTCGGGCACCCTGGTGTCCTGTGAGAATGCGCTGGTGGTGGCCATCATCGTGGGCACTCCCACCTTCCGTGCGCCCATGTTCCTGCTGGTGGGCAGCCTGGCCGTGGCCGACCTGCTGGCAGGCCTGGGCCTGGTCCTGCACTTTGCTGCTGTGTTCTGCGTTGGCTCGGCGGAGATGAGCCTGGTGCTGGTGGGCGTGCTGGCGATGGCCTTCACCGCCAGCGTCGGCAGCCTTCTCGCCATCACCGTCGATCGCTACCTTTCTCTGTACAATGCCCTCACCTACTATTCAGAGACAACGGTGACTCGGACTTACGTGATGCTGGCCCTCGTGTGGGGGGGCGCACTGGGCCTGGGGCTGCTGCCTGTGCTGGCCTGGAACTGTCTGGATGCCCGGGCCACGTGCGGCGTGGTATATCCACTCTCCAAGAACCATTTGGTGGTCCTGGCCATTGCCTTCTTCATGGTGTTTGGCATCATGTTGCAGCTGTATGCCCAGATCTGCCGCATCGTCTGCCGCCATGCCCAGCAGATTGCCCTCCAGCGGCACCTGCTGCCCGCCTCCCACTACGTGGCCACCCGAAAAGGCATTGCCACACTGGCCGTGGTGCTTGGCGCCTTTGCCGCCTGTTGGCTGCCCTTCACTGTCTACTGCCTGCTGGGTGATGCCCACTCCCCGCCCCTCTACACCTATCTCACCCTGCTTCCTGCGACCTATAACTCCATGATCAACCCCATCATCTATGCCTTCCGCAACCAGGATGTGCAGAAGGTGCTGTGGGCCATCTGCTGCTGTTGTTCCTCTTCCAAGATCCCCTTCCGCTCCCGCTCCCCCAGCGATGTCTAGTCATATCTTGGTGACCCTTCAGCCCCGATCACTACAGAATTCCAGAATGTTAGGTCCTCCAGGGCTTTGTTCCAACCCCCGCCCCCCCCAGCTCCACACCCCGAAGACCCAGCTGGTTCTGGAGTTCTAGGACATTGGGTGTTTCACAGGATTCTGTTCAGATCCCTACAGGGCCCAGCTGGCTCCATGGTTCTCGAATGTTCAGGTAGCCTGGGATTCCACTCAGAAATGTCACACAGCCCAGCTAGCTTGGAGTTCCAGGATGCTGCTGGGTGTTTTACAGTGCCACTCCGAGTCCCTGACCTTCACCTTCCCTTGACCTTAATCATGTCACTTTACTTTTGAGTTTCTGAGCTGAAGAGTCAGAGAGGTTAGTCACTCAGTTGCCTAGATAGGAGAAAGAAAGATGTATCTCTATATATGTGCACACACAAAAAGAGTATCTATTTATACTTTATTTATTTACTTATTTATTTATGGGTGGTAAGGGGGAAAAAAGAGACCTACACCTTGAAATCCAGGCCATACCAGGGTATTCCCCAGTCCCCAGACCCCCATTGCTGACCTCAGTTCCTAGAGGGGGGAAAGGGAGAAAGAGAAACCACGTATTTTGTTATTATTTTTGCTTATTTTTTATCGAAGAGATCATAGAAACCAGAGCCTTCTCCCCAGGCCCGCCCCTCTCGGGTTTGCTGGGAGAACACACCAGCCTCTGGTTTTTTATTTTTTTAAGAAGCCATCACCTGAGCAACCGAGAATTCCTCTGCGCTGGGGGCCGGCTGCCCTCTGGTGGCCGTTTGGGGGAAACTGCAGCCCGGCCAGGCTGCCCGGACCAGACCCCACGACCCCAACTCCACTCCAGCCTGGCGTCCAGCGCCCCAGCCAGGACCTGGAGGCCAAGCCCCACCCTGCGGTGCCCTAGAGGAGGCAGGATGTGAGCCAACACCTGATTCCTCTGCCAACCGGGGTATGGCCCTCCAGTGCTTCCCTAATCCTATCCCTGACCCATCCCTTAATAAAGAATGATTTTGTGATAATTGTTTCTGTCTGTATGTGTGAAGAGGGTAGAGTGGGGCTGATGTGGGGTGAGCCCAGGCCTGGGAGCCTATTGAGGGATCTGGGGAGCTGGAGACCCAGAGTGGCGTGTGGTTGGCAGGTGACATCGCCACCCCTTGAGAGGATCTAACGGGCCCCTCTCTCTGCTCAGGCCAGGGCATTGCCAAGCAAGGGGACCAGGCTGCTAGACCCTTCTTGGGTTGAGGATGCCCATGTTAGCTTTTGTTTGGAGCTTTGGCATGAAGTATATGCTCAAAGCACGTCCTTAAAAACAGCTCCTTCTAACTGTGGGTGTTTACTGTCTGCCAGGCACTGTCAATGCACTACTTATGTTACCACATTTATGCCAAACAAGTATCCCGTGGCACAGGTAATGTCTTCTGCATTTTACAGATGGGAAAACCGAGGCTGAGGAAGGGTTGGTGACTGGCCCAAGGGAACATCCACTTCCACAACCTGTGCTCTATTGGCCAACTGCTTCTCATCTCTCCTTCCTTCCTGAGCCTGGGGCTTGGGATGTTCTGGACCCTGATTTCTACTGGGGTTCATTCTCAGAGCCAGAGGCCACATTTGAGAGGAGGTTGGACAGAATAGGGTCATTTTGGAGCTGAAAGAGCTTCTTTTCTATCCAAAGGTGAGTAATGGTGTGTGCGTGCACCCTTGTGTACATTTGAGGACATGAGTGTGCAGCCCCCTGAGTGTGGCTGTTTTGGAGCCAGAAAGAGTATGTTCACCAGGCAAGGGCAAGGGCAGGTTTGGAAGCGTGGCTAAAGAGGAAGCGCTTGCCTAGCGCAGCTTCTCAGCCTCCCAGGCCTCCCATGTAGGCAAAGCCTTGAGATGGGACCGTCGGAGCACATCCCTCCATCATACAGATGGGGAGACTGAGGCCCGGAGAAGAACAACCACTTTTTCAAACCCACACAGCTGTGCCAGGCTAGGCCTCAGGTCTTTCTCCATTTCTCTGGCCAGAGCTCTTTCACCTAGTATTCAAGGCTCCTTCCCGACAATGGCCACAGGACTCCAAGGGGCGTGGACATGCCAGCAGGGCCTGGCTCAGAGCTGGTGGAGGGCAGACACAACTCCAGTGCATACAAAGCAGGGAGGCACCGTCAGGTCAGGTGGAGTCTTTCTTTCCCCACCTTCCTGGTAGGTCCCCAGTAGGGGTTGCAGGGGGCGGGGGGCAAAGACCCCCACCGAGCAAACACCTCCCCCGTTGCCAAGCTAACATTTCACACATCACCATGGCCCTTTCGGTGGTATCATTGCTCTTCCCATCTTACAGAAGAGGTAGTTGAGGCTCTGAGAGTGGAGGCCCACATTCATTCACTGCTGTCCTTACGGACAACTTGAATTTCAGCTCGGGGAGACAGTAATAAAGAGATGAATTTAAGATTTGGCAATGTCAGGGAGTGAAAAGTTCTCAGAGACAAAGTAGGAAAGGGGCACAGGGAGTACGTGTACTCTGTAAACAAGGGCTCCCAGGAAAGGCCTCACTGCAGGGGACATTTGATCTGCTTAAAGTCACATAGTGAAGAGTTGAACTGGGATGTGAACCCAGGTCCATTGGACTCCAAATCTGTTTGTTTCCTGGGTAAGGGAGTGAGTTTCAAGAGCAACTCAGAAACTGCAAGCAAAGAAACTGGGACAGGGAGCCCTTTCCCCAGGCTGGGGAGAAGTTGGGGGTCTCCAGACTCCCCCCAGACCTCTGGAACAGGCAGTGTGCAGAAGGGCCTCCTTACTGCCTGTCCCATGTTCCCAAGGAGCCGCCACCAGGGGAGACCAGGAGGAGGGGGTCCAGGTGCCCATACTATTCTGGGCAGGCTCGGCCCTTTGCCTCCCCTTCCCAGCTTCAGTATCCAGGGCTAAGCAGAGCCGAAGCCTTTTTGTCTGGGAGGGCCTGGGGGTACCCCGTGCTGGGGGTCCTCCTCGGCTTGTGCGGGTGTGGTTGTGTGGTGGACCCGAGGCATCTCTGGGAGCCTGCATCTGGGGTCTGCCTTGGGTTCTAGGCCCACGCTGAGGGATACCTGAATCTGCCCCTGGGGTTGCGGTCTGAGGCTGTGTGCGCGGTGGAACTGTCTGGCTTCTTCCGGGATTTTGTAGATCCAGCTGAGGTCCTCCCTGTTCCCCTACCCTGTGCTTCCTCCGAGAAGCCTCCTTGGCTAAGTCCTATGGCCATGAAGATGTGGTTTATACAACACACCTTGCTACACTTCCCGAGTAAACATTATAGAGGTCTTGACCTCTTTGTCAGGATGGTGGCCTCTGAAGGCAGGGCTGTGTGTCCCTGAGAGAAGGGACATGCCCGTCCTCTCAGAATGAAGCCTTCTATGTCTCTTTCAGCCTCAATTCATCTGGTGCTCAGCCTGGAGCCGCTCGGCGCTGCACGCCTGGGTGCATATATGTATGTGTGGTTTTTTGGGGGGGGGGTCTCCAAGACCCTGACACTTTTCCAACCCCATGCCGATCCCACCCATCTACAGAGGCTTGGGAGGGTGACCTAGGCAGTGCAGGGGGCTCCCCTGGATTGGGGGAGGTGAGGGCTGGGGTCCAGAGCCCTGCCTTCCTGCTTGGGTAGGCCCTAGGGCCCATCTTTCCTTCTCTTCTTCCCAGGTCCTGTGTGGGGGAGGGGAGGAGCCCTGAGTGCTGAGCCCCCGCTGGGGCCATGGCCGCCTCTCCCTGCAATAAGTGAGGAGACAGCAGCTATTAATATAAGATGAGTTCACGGGCTCACAGCTTCCGCGGGCTGGAAAACAGGCTCCCGGGGCCGGGGGCTGCGGCAAAGTCTCAGCGTCTGTCAGAGTCTCTCCCAGAGCCGGCCAGCCTCACAGTCCACAGCTCCCTCCCTGCTGAGACCTGTTATACCAGCAAACCCATGAGTACACACACATGGGCACACACAGGCACACAGGTGGGGGTCCAGGCCCCTGGCCATTCAGGGAGAACACACACATATGCACATACATCCAGACGTGTGTGTATACCCAGACCTATCCGCACACTGGTACATACACACTGTGCACACATATACCACTGCACACATGCTAATAGGTCATGTCGACTTCATGTGCACCTTTGCACGCAGAGGTACATACTTCAGTGTATGTACATGCCCTCACACATGCGACTATACACATAGGCTTACCCCTGTATACATGTGTGCACAACGGTCCAGACACGTGTGCATACCCACACCCATCTGCACACCATTGCACACCACATATATACAGACACAAAACTGCACGTGTATATACAGATGGTACCTATCTGGTCAGGTACACATATTTGCAGATAGGACCGCATTCAAGAACTTGAACGCATGTATATATGCCCTTCTGCACACAGTGTCACACAGGCTCCCCGCTGCTGTCGGTGCTCAGTAATCATGAATTCACAGGCGACCCTCAGTTTCCAGCCATCAGGCTGGCTCAGCCTCCTCTCCTTGTCTCTCCCCTCCCCCACCCCCATGACAGGCAGCGAGTGCTCCTGCCAACCCCAATGCCTGCCTTCAGCTTCCCGCCCCCCGGGGGTCCCCAGATCCCTGATTAACCCCCTCGCTAATTGGCCACCAGCCCCTTGACTTTGCTGCAGGCCTTCTCCAGAGCTGGGAGCGAGAGGCTGCAAATTGGCCAAGCAGGATGGGTCTGGGGAATAGAGTGTGGGGGTGGGGTGGGGGTGCTGTGAGCCCAGGCCCTGGCTGGAGCCAGAGCTTCGGTGAACACTGACATCATATTCCCTTGGGAGGGCACCCCTATGATTCATGTGTACACAGTCACATGAAACCTTCCCTGCACACACATTTACATCTGCTCCTTAGTCATGTGCATGGATACGATTCACTCTGCTTTTTTACACAAATGCATGTATTTGCATACACCCAAGTACATTCATGAACCCGGTACGTGTGCAAACATGTTACATGTACATGAATTTACCTGCCAGGTATACAGAGACCATTTATACATGTACATCCAAACACACCTCACCTAAGCACACAGTCACATATATACAGGCTTGCCAACATTTACACGTTACACATGCCTATGAACATACTAAGTGTACTTGCAGGCATATATGAACATACATCTGCATGTGAGTGCACAGCCGTGGAGTCTAGGCATGCATGCACGCACCACTTGTTTGTGTGTGTGTATGTGTATGTGTGTGTGTGTGTGTGTGTGTGTGTACATATCCTGATGAATAATATGGCCTCCTCCGGTTCTGCAGAGGAAGCCTAAGGTCAGCATAGTGTGCTGGTAGGGGTGGGGGGTGGCAGAACCCACCCAGGGTGCAAGTTGCTGTTTCCCAGTCTCCATCTCAATGATGCCTAACCCTGGGACCTCCGCTGGGTTCCCCTCAGTCTTCAGGGCTCCAGACAGAAGGGCAAAGCTTCTGGGATGCCTGGCTGGCTTAGTCAGTGGAGCATGTGACTCCTTTATCTCGGGGTTGTGAGTTCAAGCCCCACATTGGGTGATTACTAAAAACATAAACTTAAAAAAAAAAAGAGCAGAGCTTCTGGCTTGATCTCTGTTGTTCTTATCTCCTGGACTCTGGGTCTGAGCCCACAGGGTGTTCTACCCTCTTGTAGGGAACTTGGGGACTGTAAGAAGAGGATTTCTATTTCCATGCCTGCTGCCAACTTGCTGTGTGACTTTGGACAAGTTGGTGTACCTCTCTGTGCTTTGTTTCCTCAACTGTAAAACAGCACTGAAACGCTTCGTGTTGGTAATCCTCCCAGGACTGGCCTAAAGAATCCATAGGGTCATGTTCATGGATGTAATTTACTCGGGCACATATGTTTGGGAGAGGTGTTATTTCCCAAGACGGTGAGAGGCCAGGATGGAGGGGTCGCATACATCATGGTCAACCTAACTCTTCATTGGATACGTGAGGAAGCTGAGGCCCAGAGAGGGAGCAGCAAGGTGGGGGCTAAAAGATCTGACCTCTGACTTCTCAGCCATGAAGTCTGCTTCTCTTTAAATATGTATCCAGTGTGAGCAAGTGTGTGCACAGTTCCCAAAGTTAAGGGCAGAATGGCTGACTGCTGAGGTGGGGGGGGGGCGGTTATCTATGCAGGACTCCTGCCACCAACGTGCTGAGAATTCTACCATGAGACATTCCTGTGGATGTGAGAACTTTCTTTCCTTTTCTTTTTTTTTTTTTTTTGGTCCTCCGGCTTCAGACCTCTCTCTCTCGACACCTTCATCTCCTGGGGCTGCGGGGCAGTCCACGCGGAGCACCTGAAACTGCTCCCAGCCTCATTATCAGGAAGGGAACTAGCTGACAACCACCTGGGAACAGAAGTTGCAGGAAACCGTGCCCGGTTGCCCTGGCCACTGGGCGGCCAGGAGGGGGCAGTGAGGAACTGGCGGAGGCAGCGCGAGGGGAGGGGTGGCTCCTGAGGACCGTGCGAGGTTTGCTGGCGATGATGTGTTCCTGCAACTGTGTGCGTGCGGATCTGCGTCCTTGTTTGCACAAGGGCAGGGCTCTGCCTACGGTGCGTGCACGTGTCCCTGGGCCTGGGTTCTCAAGTGTGCCCACTCATATGTATAGGTGTCTTGTGTGTGCATCTGTGTCTTTGTGCATAAATGTGGGCACCGTCACAGGTGTGCGTGTGTGTACCGAGCCGCGTCTGCAGGAAGCCCCGGCCCACACCCACGGAACCCACTTGGCCCCCCGGGCAGCTGAGGGTGCGAGGCATTTTCAATTCTTATGATCTGGGATGGCTGGGCCCTCAGTCCAGCCCACTTGATTCCAAAGAAGAAAACAGCCATCACCTGTAAAATTGGGCACCAGATGGTGGGGCAGCCCAGACTGGAAAACCTTAATGTGCCCTCGACGACACTAAAGACCTGGACTCTAGATGGAGAGGTCCAGAAAGCCGTTTCAAGTTGTGTGGGGCACAGGACACAAGCTCTGGCTTGAGAGACCCGTGCGTGAACTGTGGCTCTGCTGCTGGCCGGCCACGTGGTCTTAGGCAACTCAACCTCTGGACTTGTTTTCCTCACGGGGACAACGAGGGACCCTTCCCTCGTAAGGTTGAAATAAAGGGTGCGGCGTCCTGAGCAGGTAGCAGGCGCTCAGCAAACGCTCGCTCTTCTCGAGATCAGCCCAGAGGGGTGAGGCGCGGGGTCACAGCTCCAAGTGGAGGAGCCGGAACGCCAGCCGGGGCCGCCGCTTCCCAGAACCACATTCCTCCCTTCCACTTCCCCAGCAAGGGCGGCTCCCCACACCACCATTTTGTCTTCTCCCAGGGCGGGCGTCTGGCTGCCTGTCAGTCACCGGCCTCGGGAAGCCAAGTGCTGACTAAACACAGGCCTGAGCAGGAGGGTGGAGCGAGGGGCTCCGCCGGGGCGAGCCGGCTCCCGCGCCCCCTCCCCTGCACCCCCACCTCCAGCGATGAGCTCAGAGCGGCTGGCGCAGCAGTTGCTGACAATTCAAAACTTCTGCCCCCTCTCCTGGGACGCCTGTGGGTGACTCTCTCTCTCTGAACAGCAGGCTTGACCGGCAGTGGCCAACCTTGCTCCTACCCCTCGCCCAGGGCCACGCCACTGCAGGCTGCGGAGCCCGCGACTGCAACTGGGTGTCTGCCCATAAATTACCCCCAGGGACAGTCACCCGCAGCAGCTGTGCTCAGAACAACCGTTGCTTCCTGGGTAGGTCATTTTTTTGGGTCAGAAATAAACCCGGCCCCTTCGCCTTCCCAGGCGGGAGAAGGGGCTTGCAGCAGCCTCAACTTTTTATCGGATTCTACCGAAAATCATTCTATTGAAGGTAAGTTGCTTGGGCCCGAGAGGCAGACAAGATGCCGGCCAGATGCTGGGAAGCAGTATCAGCACTGGGACGGTGCTGCTCTCCTGCCCGGTGAGGCGGCCGGCAGCCTGTCTCCCCGGGGCCCCGCACACCCACCTCAGCCAGCCGCGGAGGGCCCGGGGAGCTGGCCTTCTAGGTCCCCCAACCTGGGTCTCCTCCTAAGCCAAAATGGTTTCCGGCCTTCATACCCACCTCGCACACAGGGCACACCACTGCGACCCAGAGGCTTCCTGCTCCTGGAGCCCGCCCACGCGAGACTTCCCTGCAGAGCTCTGGCCGCCACCTGCGGCTACCAGTGTTGCCCCCGTCCGGTCACTTGGCTCATCAGAGACAGAGAGACATGCGCATACACACCCACACACACCAGAGGTGGCTCAGTAGCTACAAAGACTTTATCAAATTATTTAAAATGTTGGCATTTACATATTCGCACGTATACATAAAATCATTACATGGAGTCCTCAGGTCACGGGGTGCTAATGTGGTCCACACATGAACCTGGCAACAAATGAGACCAGGCTTGGAGCCACAGGGCTTTAAGAAACTGGACATCCTCCTAAGGGCCTAAGAGGAGGAGTAGGGGGAAGAGGAAAGGGTCACCGTGGGGGGTGGGGGGGTGGTTTAACCCCACCCTCACAGGTCTCTAACTGAATCTCCTTTCCCACTCTCAGGGGAAAGGGACCCATTTCCAGACCATTCCTCTGCTATGTAATAGGCCCACTCCCTAAAATCGATGTGGCAAACATAACCAAGAATCCACTGGAATAGGTACTTATAAATATATTTATATCAGAGAAAACAAGGCACTTTGGGAGCATTACAGCTCACTCTCCTACATGTACATCGTTCTAGACAGAAAGTAAAAATTGGTTAGTTTCTCAAGTGAGTTAACTGAGTCAAGTTAATACAATAACAGAATTGTTCCCTAGCCCTCACTGAGACACAATATGAGGCACAATCTCCTGGCAAAACCTGGTCCCAGGTATGCTGGACCCCAGCAGAGCTCAAAGCCTCATGCCCCCAGGAAGCCTGACACTTCTCTGGAGCAAGAGCCCCTCGCCCTGGGGCACCGGCCCCCTCCCCAGGCCCCGAGGTCAGGTGAGGGGGGCTGCAGAGGGAGGCAGGCGGAGAGCCAAGCTGGGACACGGTGGGAATGCTTAAGCAGGGTCACCAAAGCCACAGAGACCTCAATCTGTCCAAGCTGGCGCTGCAGAGCCAGAGGATCGGCGCCACGGGAAGAGATTTCACATTAGCCCTGACAACACCGCCTCAGCTCTGCGGTGACATTGGCCAGGGTCGTTTCTGAGGGCGCTTGAGCTTCCGCTGGAGGCGAGCTGGAGCTCGGGCCAGCTGCTCGGAGCCCTCCAAGGGACTGCAGAGCCTGCCCCCTCCCCGGAGCTGCTCCTTTGGAATGTAGTCATCTCACAACCACGGCAAAGCCACAAGTCACTTCTGACACTGCCGAGTGGAAGCTGGGTCCCTGGGCCACAGGAATGGGGGCAGGTCCCCTGGGCTGGGCGGGCCAGGGAGAGGAGACGGCTCCTTGGCTTCAGAGCTTAAGAGTCCTTATGAGCCGTTGCTCCATACCCTTACCAGCCTTGGCCCAGTTTAAATAATCACTAAACTTTGCATTCTACAATTACAGGATTCCAAAGACACGCAATTACCTGCATAGGGTCCTTTATCATCTTAAAGGGCTCTGGGTTTAAAGAAGTTGGGGTTTTTTTGGGTGGGGGGGTGCACATATGCATAAATAGAGCCCAGAGGGCCTCTCGGCTGACTGGGTCCCCAGCCCCCAGAGCTGAGGAGGCTTCGCAAGGCCGGCTGCTACAAAGCACCGAGCTTGGCTGCATAGATTTTAATGAGAGCGTCAGGCAGAGCTGTGCTGTTGCTCTCCGGGACTTGCAGATCATTACCAAACCAGCTGTAGGATGAGAACACAGCACATCGAAACCCTAGGAGGTCACTGAGCTAATGATCTAATCCTACCTTCCGCAGGCAGTGCCCCCCCTTCACCCCCACCCCCGCTCCTGCCCCCAGCCCTTTACAGGGCGGACTGTGTCCATTCCAGAAGGCAGGCCAACACCGCCCCCTTCAAGGTCAGAGCAGAATGATAGCAAGTGGCGCTGGCTCCCCCTTTTCCGGAAAGGAGGGGGATGGGGGTAATTTAGTCAAAGCCATTAGGCCCAAACCCTGGCCTGGCCAGGCCCCAGGACTCCTATTTGGGAGAACCACTGCCCTCTACCTGCCCCTCCAGCCACTGCTGGGCTGCAGCCAGGGGCACCTTCAACAGCCATTTTAGGGTTCTGAAGAAAGCACCTTCAGCTTCCCAAAGTGCAAGGAGGGAGGCAAGGCAGGGGCACACGCAGCTAGGTCCGCTCAGCCCTGTAGCACGGCACCAGCCCTGTGACACAGACACCTGATCTGGGGAGGGGGAGGAGGCTATATTCTGGAGCCGCCCTAGCAGGAGGGCATGCTGGTCCCTACTGGCTCCGTCACCACACCAGAGTTCAAGGAAAGAAGGCAGAGGGGAGCATCCAGCCAGGGCACGGCGGCAGTGCCGGTGATTACACACACTCCTCAAGCCGGAGGGGTTTAGGAGGGCTTTGGCAATTACTACAACCATTTGCTGTGCTGGGTAGAGACAGATCCTGTTTCTCTTTGTTTCAGGGCTCTGAAGGCTGGAGAAGCCAGGAGAAGCTGGTTTCAGCATAAGAGGCTACACAATAGTTAGGGCAGAAGAGAAGAAACCTCACTGTTGGCCAAAGCTGACCAGTTTTTTTTCTGAATAATAGCACCTGTGTATTAGCTCGGGAAAGAGGGGGAGCGAGGGAGGGAACATCACTGCACGCAGTGAGGAGAGAGCTGGAAACAAGACCCAGAGCCCCTCTGCCTTTCAGCCCTCCTCACGGCTGCCAGGCCCCCCTAGGCAGCTACCTGCGGCAGCCGCCAGCCTGAGGGACTGAAGTTTCTACAGCTGGCAGAACCTATGCTTAAATTGGGGAAATAAAAAGGGGACGAGTTGCAGAGGAATTGAAAACAACACCTGTCAAAGCTGCCTACCCCCTTCCTTCTCTCACTACCCCTGGTCTCCCAGAAGGGTAGCTCCCAAGGCCATGTGGTTCAGCGGTGACAGTAAAGGGGGAGCAAAGAATTATAAGACAGCCTGTAAGGGTCTGAGCAGCACTGACAGGCCGGGCACGGGCTCTGAGGCCCCCTACTGGGACCCCCACCTATGGTGAGGTCTAGACTCCAGCAAGTGCCCACGACTTGGTTCCAGAAGGCACAGGTGACTTGGAATGAGGAACTCTGGGCTCCAGGTTTGTCACCATTCAACTGTGTGACCTGGAGCAAGTCATTTCCCATGTCCAGATTTCAGCATCATTGAGAGGGGAGGTTTCAAGTTGTTTACCATTCTTCCAGTCCTGCAGTTCGGAGTCTCTAAGCTAGCAGAGGTCGAGACCCCAGCGTGTTGGGGCTAATTTGGTCATGGATATTAGAGGTCTGAACTGGGCTGTGGTGCCTAAAGCACCTGGTAGTGAGGGAGGGACATTTAAGGGACACCTGAACACCACACTCTGGACAGGGAGCTTGGGAGGGAGGCAACAAGTTCAGCCTTCAGGAAGGCACAATTTCTGGGCAGATGGGGAGACGCTCCTTAGGGCCTGATGGCTCCTAGTAAAGGGCATCCAGACATAGAGATAGCTTAGCAAATGGCAGCTCACCCTGCTGACCAGGGCAAAAAGGTGTAGCAGTCTGGCTGCTAGGCCGTGTGGCCTGCTCTGCCCTCTCAGTGCATGGGAAAAGGGGCTGGCCATGTCCACGCAGGCTTTAGGACGAGAAGATGGCTCCCATTTTTCAAAGGGTAAGGATTTTGGAAGAAGACCACAGTTGAAAGTGGCTCCTAGGGGAAGGCACCAAATCCAATCTAAACCCAATCAAAGGGATCTGCTCTGGAGTTTTTCCTTCTTTTCAGTATGCAACAGTCACTTGAAGGGAAGAGGGAACATCTCAGGTACTGAATCTCAGGAGCCCCACGGGACCTGACTACGGGGAGACAGGAAAATATACGTTGATTTGGAGGAAGCACTTGGATATATCTTTGGTTGCTTCAGGAAAGGCTTTGGCCCCTTGAAATTCTTTTTTCTTCCCTCTTTCCCCCCACTGGACTGTTGGGATAGGCATCAAAGAAGGCAGCAGGAGGAAAGAAAAAGGAGGTGGGAGAGCAGGCAGAAAGAGTTAATCCGACCAGTCGTCCTCATCAAACTCTGAGGAATCATCTTCTGAGTCACTGTACTCCACAGCAATTCGACGCGACAAGATGGTGGCCACGTCGTTGCCCACAACATCCCGCTTCTCTTGTTCCTGCTGCTCCTCCACCTTGCGCAGCTGAAAGCCTGGTGGGGAGTGGGGGGAAAAGAAGGGTTCAGAATGTGAGTCGATCTCAGAATCCATGTGGGACTGAGGGAGGCAAAGTGGCTACTGGTGGCTGGAGTATGGGGAAAAGGGGAAAGAAAAAGAAAAACCCTCTGGAAGAGCAAAGAGAGAAGGGGGGAAGCAAGAAAAGAAGATGAAGGCTTATACAATTCTGGCCCTAGAGCTGTAGGCATGTCGGAGAGGAAGTCTGCCATTCTTTCCAGTTTCCACGCTGTCAGGCTGGTGAGGACAGCACTTCTCAAGAGGGTCTGAGCTGGGAGTGGCCACCATCCAGCACCCAGTGGGCACTCAGTCTGCCCAGTTTATTGATTATCACAGAGCTTAGCTGCCCCAACTTGTCTCCTCCAGACACTCCTTCAGTTGCAGGAGGCTCACACACAGGAGAAACCACTCTAACCCCTTGGGACCTCTGACTCAAAGAGAATAAATGCTCCACAGGTCAGATGATGAGGAGGGAACACAGAAAGGTAGGGAAGGGAGGGATGGAGACAAAGAGGGAGGGGATAGGAGAAAATGGGGAGACAGATGGGGTGAGAAAGGGGTAAAGAGAGAAGGAAGGAAGGATATGAAAGGCACAAAAGTGGAGGGCAAGGCCATGATGTAGTCTGGCCAGAGAAGTACCTTCTAGGGGGTAGTGATGCTTGGTTTTCTCTGGGGCACAAAATGAATGCAAATACACACAGAGCAACCATTTTCAAGGAGTTGAAAGACTCCAAGTTAAGAATACGTCACTTATTTTCATGACCCCGATATATCAAGAGTCACATACTCTTCTGACTGAGCCAGTCTAGGCACCCCAAGAATCCTTTAGTTTTAAATTTTTTAGTAGACTCCACACCCAATGTGGAACTCAAACTCATGACCCTGGGATCAAGAGTCGGATGCTCTACCTACTTTGGTAGAGGACCAGGCGCCCTAAGACTCCTTTACACGAAGGTGGAAAGAAATCTAAATCTCTTATTATTTTTAGAGCGAAGCCGTTCTTCAGGCTGATCTGTGGCCTGAAGCCCCTCCCAATCTCTCCCCACCTAATGAAAGCTATTTCCTGGGAAGGGCACAGAACCCCTAGCCCACCCTCCAATCAGTGATCCTGGGTGCAGAAAGACAAGACTTCATGGCCCCGGACCCAGCACTAGGAATTACCTTGACGTATGGCTGAAAGTAAGTCACTGCGGGCATCGCTCACAGGAGGCAAGGAGGACTTAGGCTTGGTGGCATCGGCAAGAGGTGGTGGTGCAACAGGCTGGTCATCCACATCACTAAAAGGGAGAGGAGGTGGCCCCGGAGGAGGGGGAGGAGGGGGAGGAGGAGGTGCGCCTATCGCTGGTTGGGACAAGGGAGGTGGTGGCAGAGTCGGGTAGTCAGCTGTAGGTGGTGGGGGAGGCGGCGGAGGGGCAGTAAAATTGGGGTGAGGAGGGAAAGATGGGGGTGAAGGTGGTGGTGGGGTCCCCGGAGACCCAAATCCTCCAGGCGGGGGCGGGGGTGGAACGCCCAGCACCGGAGGTGGAGGTGGAGGAGCAGGGGGTGGAGCAAACCCCGGTTTGGAGCCTGGAGGACAGCCCAGAGGAGGCGCCGGTGGTGGGTGGCTTGGGCTCACCACACTGGATCTTTTGGGTCCAGCTAAGCCGGGCCCTCTTTGGCTGCTGTCTGCAGGGCAGCTGAAAGGACACAGAAAGAGACCCACCATCACTCTCAGCATGTGAACACCCACCTCTAATTAAGCTTATCTATGAGCCTAGGTTCATTTCAGTTGACTATTACTCATTGTAGCTCAAACAGAAAAACCTGAGAATGGTCAGAACAGACCACCAATGCAATGGGGCAGCCTGGTAATGTAATGAGCTCTCATCAGCAGAGGAATATAAGTAGAAACTGAGAAAAACTATTTGAAAGAAGTAGACTGGGATTCCTCTATATCAGGTAAGGGTTAGCCAAGGTCATCTCTGAGGTCCCCCTCAAACCTTTCAGCTTTCCAAGGGAAGGTACCTCCTGAGCCCTCCTCTAGGAGGAAGAGTCCATTTGATCCTACAGCTGGGACCAAGAAGGCATGCAAAAAAAATCTAAACCATCACCCACTCACTGGGCTTTATTCCTCAGGCTACTGTCATTCACCAGTCATTGTGAGGGCAGGAAACCCAAGCCAAGCTGAGCAAATCTGAGCAGGATACAGAGTTAGGGAAATTTTCCTTCAGTGTTCATGTGGGAAACCATGAGCGGGGAAGAGGATCTGAGGGTCAGCAGAGATGGGAAATGAATGTGCCACTCATTTAACTCATGCTGAGTCAAAGCTAAGTAAGAAAAGTAAGAGATAAGTTGGTAATCTCTATCTGTTCCAGTATAGCTAATAGTTAAGAATACAGGCTGTGCAGTCAGAATGACCTGCTTTACCAACCAGGGCTCTGCCTCTTACTGGCTGTGCAACCTCAGGTAAGTTCATTGACCTCTTTGTGCCTCACCATTCCCCATAACGTAAAATGGGTACCTAGCTCAGGATGACTGATGTGAGGATTAAGCAACATAGAAGGTGTCTGGCATAATGTCTGGCACCTAATAAACACTTAATGTTAATCATTTCAATTATCTAGACAGACTTGACTGAAGTTATTTTACTGATCCTGGTCTGGATTTGGAACACACATTTTGTACTTTTTTAAAAAAAAAAAAAGGTTTATTTATTTTCAGAGAGAGCGAGCGAGCACACACACGAGCAAGAAACGGAGGGGCAGAGAAAGAGGAGAAAAAGAATCCCAAGCAGACTCTGTGCTGTGTGCACAGAGCCCAACGTGGCACTTGATCTCACAAACCGTGAGATTATGACCTGAGCCGACATCAAGAGTCAGATGCTTCACTCACTAAGCCACCCAGGCAATCCTGTTCTTTTTTCTTTTCTTTAAGATTTTATTTTTTAAAGTAATCTCTATACCTAAGATGGGGGACGAATTCACAACCCTCAGATCAAGAGTCGCATGCTGTACAGACTGAGCCTACTCCGGTACCCTGAGGAACACTTATTTTGTTCTTGTGAGTGTGTAACCACCCAGAGAAGACAGAAGAGACACCATTTACCTGAATTCTGCAGGTGGGGGAGGCAAGCTGTCCTCCGAGAAGGAAGGAGAAGGTGGAGAAGTGGAATCTGACTGCGGTGGTGGTGGGTAGCTGCTTCCATCCATATTTTCAACAGAGCCAATACTGCCATTCTGGTACACCAAGATGGGCGGATATCTGACAATGAACCCAATGCCAAAACCGTCATTTAAAAAGTGTGAAGGATACGCTCATGTTCTTTTAAGCGACCCCACAAAAATGCATTTGATACAAAAACTATTAGGAAGAAAGAATATTCCCGACATAAAATTCAATTTTAGGACTAAATTCCGGATTAAAATTTAGGCTAAAATCTATTGTTAAATGTCTCCCAGATATTTCTGCTGGATTTAGAGGAACAGAGTCAAACCCAGATAATCAAAACCATGCCGTTCCTTTCCCAGTACCGGTCGGCTCTGGCAAACCCAACAGTTCTTTTAAATTCTCTCCCAAATGTTAAGAGCAGCCTATACCCAAATCCCAAAGTCTGTCTTGTGGCAAAGGGCAAAGCCAAGCCCCAAGGCTGGTGAGCTGTAAACACGTGACTGGCACACAGCCTGGTGTGGAGGTCAGAAAGCCTCTGGAGTACGCAAAGGCCAAGGAGGCATCTGATTGCAAAACCGAGCTGAGGACAAATGTAAGTTGCTGTGTGGCGGCTGGACGCAGTCTCCCTGCCAGGTCGCTTATCCAACACAACAAGCTGCCAATTTAAGTAGGGCGCTAGGGCCTGTGCCTCATGAAAACCTGTGCCCCAGAGCACTGGGCCTTGGGTGAACAACAAACCTCCAATGAGCATAAATCCACCAACTAGCAGCTAGCAAAACACGGCTGGTTCTGTTCCAGCTCCCCCTTCTCTCCACCACTGCTGGGTTATAAAGAACTCATCTCAGACCCCAGGGAGAAGAGAGTTGGGGAGAACTAACAAATCAAATGATGGTCTGATGCAGAAAATCCCCAAGGCCCGGACCCCTGCAGGCTTGGCACATCTCTTCACAGGTTTACCAAGGAGCACGGCCAGGTAGGCCAGCCATGCAGCCCAATCCCGAAATTCTTGGACAAGAGGAAAATGGGAGGCAAAGTCCTTGTTTTCACCAGCCCCATTCCACACCCACAAAAACAACAAAAACCAAGCACGTGATAGTTGGCATTCTTAACGTGCAAGATTCTGGCCTCAGAGTCACAGAACCTGAGACAAGGCCTGTCTGAACAGGAGGGACCGCAGAACAAAATGGCCCCTTTTACTGGGAGGTGAAGGTAAGGAAGGTACCCTCCGGGCTGATCTCCTGTAGAGAGAAAGGTTCATTTTTTTCTCTCACCACCTTCATCACTCTTTAAAACAAATCTCTTAATCCAGGAAGAACAAGTGTCAGAAGTGTCAAGATTTTCAAAAGTCAAGATTTTCGTGGTAGAGTTATTCCTAAAAGCAAGAACAACTCAACTCTTGCCTTTTATCATTCCTAGACACCCGGCATGGGCTGGCATGGTTCTCTGACAGCCAGGATGCAATGTATTTAGAGGGAAAACCAGGGCAACATTCATGCCAAGCAGTCGTGGTAACTTGGCTTTGAATGTCACACAGGTCGGACATCAGGATAAGCATCAAACCAAGCTCTAAAACCATTTTTTTCCTTTTAAGCCTCCAGTGTGATTTGGTATCGGGAAATGGGTCAGACTGACATCTACTATTTCCCCATGGAGATATACAGCCTTAATACTGGCCGAGCGACCTTTCCCACACTGTCTCTGAGGTCTGCTTTCAGTCCCTTGGCCAGCCTCTCTCCCGAGACTGACAAAGGCTGACTGAAAAGTTGCTTTGGTGATGTGCACAAATCCTCTGCCTGGCCCTCTCCATTCCTGTGAAATGCCCAGCCCTTAGGCATGACCTTCAAATCAAAGCTCTAGAGGCAAAGGGCTCCCAAGACCACTTTTCTTCTCTTTCCAGTCTTTCCTTTGAGGCCCACAGACGTACTAGTATCTGGCAGAGCAAGGGCACTAGAAGCCATGGGCTTTCTTTTCTAGACTACTACAGTCACCTCATCTCAACTGCTGAGTCTCTTGACTTATTTAGCAAATTTTAATCACCAGATGGATACACTTTAAGGTAGCTGATTAATAGTGGTACTGATCTATGCCACACAGTCAGACTTCAGGGGGTCATGAATGGTGCCACCCCAGAGCTGTTAGGCTGTTGCCCACAGGTCCCTAGGCCTTCAAAGAATGCTACCAATAATACGAAAGCATCACCTACCCAGAAGGCCCCAGCTTTTCTTTGGATTCCACAAATTCTTGTCCCATCTTCATCTTCTCCCACTCTTCCTTACGTGTCTTGATTTTACGTGGATTTACATTCCCTCGATTTGGATTATCTTTCTTTTCTTTCTATAAGGAAAAGAAACAGAAAAGCCCCTTTGTAAAACATTTTCTCCAAAGTTCTTCATTAAAATTCCACCTACCTTCACGGATGCAAAGAGATGATTTGCCTGGACAACACACGGTAACTAGAGAATTTATATAATTACTGGTTTTGGAATGACCTAGAGTCATCTAGTCCAAACCACCTCCCAAGGTCAAGCACATTCACTCAATCCCATACTCAGACGCTTCTACAGATGGGAAACTCACTACCTCCTTGGGTAGCTCATTCATGTTTCTGAGGAGCTCTAATTGTTAGCAGGTTACTAGAAAAGCTATTTGTTACTTGCTCTGCCACAAAGGTCAGTCAACAGAGATGAGAAGTAATAAGAGCCGTAAATATCTGGGACAGATATGAGGAAATAGTTAACAAAACAAAATAAAACAACCAACAAAGAATTTCCTCAGCCTATGCAGCTGCACTAGCCTCTGGCATTCTCCTGGGCCTCCCCAGCAGCCATGCTAATGGGATTGTGAGGTTGCAACTGGTAGGTCATATGCTTACACACATCACTGGAGGCCTAAGGGGAGAGGAGCGGCTCCCAAAACTAAGCCCATGCCCTCACCCCACCCCACCCAACCAGTAGTGAAGGTGTTAAACTGTTCCTGTTTGTAAATCAAACACTGTGGGGCCCTGTGCTGATCTCTGAGAAATGAGCTGCAAAACTGGCGGGGAAGGGACTAGCCTAGCTTGAGTGTCCAGCAGAGTCAGGTGCAAATTGCAAGAGAAATAAATGGTGAATAGAAAAGTCAATTTCTAAAACTCAGCCTGAATATACTCAATTGTTAATAGCGCTAGGGGGAACAAACACATTTTTGGTGTGATTTATACTTTCATCTTGGTGGTGCTTGGAGTGGACACATTTTTTAAAGAGTTTCACCTGGCATCCAAGCAAGCAGCCACTCGGAATGATTACTTCATATAAGACTGGCTTCCTTTTTATCCCCCCTCCACAATCGTGCCTACTGATGTGTAGAACAGAGGCCCCTTTCCCCTCACCCTATGCTTTCTCTTCTCTTTCATGATATCCTTGGTGTCCTGCAGCATCTTCTCCTTCCAAAGATCAAAGAAGTACGAAGGGTCTGTGTAGAATTTGAGTGCCTCTTTCCCATCGTCCCTGGGATAGAAATGAAGACAAGTAGCTGTCAGTAGACAGATGAGCTCCCAACCAAATCCAATATTCCAAAATACCTACCAGTTAGCAGTTTTTACACTGAGGAATCAAGAAGTCATTCAAATTGACTGCTTATTTCCTCTTCCATACCAGCATTCCAATGCCCCATGAATGGCACCCATTTACTTATCTGGCTTTTTAAGAAACTTAGCCTTACTTTCAATTCCTGATAGAGGAATTTGCATGGTCAGGGCAAGAATGGGCTAGAGCAGCAGGAATCCTGATTATTCCTAATGATCTGCATGGTTACAGACATCCCCCTGAGGACATCCTGATACCCGGGCACACCAGAGGGGGTTTCTGCCATTGGTCCCCCTCCCCCCACCAATTCCCCAGCACTCTCTAGGAAGCATCAGTGGCTTCCCACCCACAGGAAACCTATGCACATATGTGCAGGTTCACGTGTGTACATTATGTATACATATATACACACTAAAGTATTTATGTGTACAGCTGTTATTCCTCTGTAAAAACAGGTAAGCACAGCAATCCACCTTCTTGCTCCCTTCTAGAATAGCTCAGAGGCCCCCCCACCCCCCACCCCAACCACAAGGGGGCCCCAGTGAAAACAGATGGCCAGCTGTTTTATGGTAAGGTTTAATTACCATCTTTTAGTGGCTGTGACAGAAGTACAGAGAGGTGCACGTAAGGGTTACCTGCCAGGCTTGACGTTCCTGGTTGGAATTCCGCACTTTGGCATGACTGAGTATATATACTTACATTCTAAAGAGTATGTGCTAGGGGTGGACATTTATTTTAGCACTATTCTAAACTAAAAAGAATTAGAAAGGCAATTCTATTCCCTGGCCTCCAATCCTGTCATAACACACAGAAAGCATTTGCAAATCAAACACTAATGATTTTTATATTAAATCTTGTTCTGAGTTAGCTACACCACTGCTCATTTCTGTTAGGCCAAATCCAGATCGTTGAGAGAATGATAAAAAGGAAAATACCATTAACTGAAAAATAAACTTGTCTTGTATCATTTATTTACCCTATCCCATCACCTAAGCCCTTTGTCATACGTCATACTCCCTTCAATATCAGGTGTACACTCCCTTCTTGCCCTGAAGCCCCTCTGCCCAAATCCGACTTGATAAATGATGATGGAGGCTACAGAGTCAAATCTGTGTCCTGTTCTGCCAGCAAGTCCCTTTGAAAGTCAAGGTGCAAACATAATTTTACACAGTAATAACACAGGATAGATGCTATGTACTTTTATCCTGTGTGAAGAGCTACCATGCTCCTAAATTCCAGGCTCCCTGGATCAGGTGGGTGTCCTTGAGTTTCACACACATTCTACTTTGCAGTATACCCATGTCTTGCAGAAGACATCTGCCTCCAGCTATCTGTAATTACTTTTTACCTGTTCCAACGATATTTATGGATACAAGCAAGATAAATATTCGCTTTCTGCCCCTGCTGAGTGGTTTTTTGCAGGATGTTCACACTACAGTCCACTGGAGGGGGAAGGGCTTTAAGCTGTCTGTAAGGCCACCATCTTTCTCAAGTTTAGCTGCAGCAGCAAAGGTCTTTGCAGAAGGGAGTGTGGAAAGGATGTTCTAAACAAAGTAAAGACAGTCATTTGGAAGGATGCCAATTATTCCTTAAGCTTTGAAGGACCCTCCAGGCCCAGAGCAGCCAGTCCACAAAGCTAGCCCCACTAACACACCCAAACATCTGGTAATTCTAGTGGTTTCTGAGTAAGTGGGAGCCTTGCTAGAATGCTGCCCCTGGGATGCATGCTCTAGGACTGCCTTGTAACAAAGTCCTTTTGGTTCTATAATAACTAAATTCCTTGGACAGAATCCAAGATGGACCTGGCTTACACCAAATTAAACTCTGCAGCATGCAATGTTACGGCAAACTTTCAATATATAGTACACTGACTATGAATTTCAGAAACCAAACAATAAATAAGTGACAAGTGTTTATAAGGTAAATATTAGCTTCTGCTGCCACAAACAACTCTGGGGTAGGTAGTAAGCTTTTTGAGATAATCCTCTGATGTAAACATCTTTAAATAAAAAGACAATCTAGTGCTGTTAACCACGGTTTGAAAAAGGGAGGAACTAGCCAGGTTACCTGTAAGGGGTTAGATTGTTGAGAGGTGGAGGAGTATCACAGGTGTTATATGTTTCTAAGACAGGTACTGGGAGAGAGTTTCTGTCGAAAAGCTTCTGGTCTTGAATGGTAGAGCTTCGGAAGGCCTTTCGGGTGTTGATTCCTTGCAGTGACACTGAGAGAAGATGGAAGGCATTAGAAAATGGACGACAGGCTATTTGAGCAAACACTGAGTCACACCAGTCTGAGAGGCCTCAGCTGCTGCGTTTCTTGGCTGCGGCTGTCTGCAGCCAGGTTTTTTTTCCTCCCCCTCTGGGGAAGCCCCACAAGGCTGTCAGCAGCCCAGCCATTTCACGACTGAACAAAATGAGGCAACACAAAGGTTTACTATGTGGCCAGATCTAGCAGGCCTCTCCTTGGGAGGAATGAATCTTCCAAGTACTTTTATGGTAACAAAATACGACTGGGGGAGGGGGCATCTGAGCAAGAATTGGGGGAATGGGAGAAAGGGAGTGTGTGGGGGTGTGGCAGAGCTAAAAAGGTTTCTTACACCACCCAGGCTTGTGTCATTTCAAAGCAGAACTCCATAGGTCTCTGTGATTTTTCCCTTTACTTTTTTATAAATCACAAAAAAAAAAAAATTCTAAGAAACTGCTCAGCAAAGCCTGCAAATGCTGAGCTCAGCTACCTTACCTTCTTCTTCCTTGGGATCCAGCTGAGTGACTTTAACTTGTAGGCGGTCGACCCTCTCGGCAAGGGAGCTTACCCGAGAGGCAAAGGTATTTGCCTGAGTAAAGAGCTCTCCAACAATGTCCTCTGCATATTTACCTGAAAGAGCAAAGAAACCAAGTCATTACTGCATAAAAATGACAAAAATGGTTAGAAAAACTGGCTACTACAGATTTTACTCCCCACCTCCACAACACACACATGCATCCCCTAAGATGGTTTGGGTTACATGCAGATGCTTGTTCTTGGAGACAGAGAGATGCCCTCCATAGTTTGAGCAGTCTGCTTATGTTCGCTAATAGTCTTCTTGGCAAACTCTGAACAGTCACGAACTCAATGCAGGATGAATAATACCAAAAGGTGCAATACAAAAAATTAATCCTGGAAGAGCAGACAATGTGTCTACACATTTGCCTACAGCCCTCACCCCCTTGCTGCTTGGTAAAAGCACCTTGTAAAATGGTTCTGGGAAACAGACTGGGAGTTACAAGGACCTTGGAGGTGTCTACCATTAACATGAAAAATAAGAAATTACATTCTCAATGGAGCCTCCAAAGTACATTCAACAACCCTGATGAGTTGTGGTATCTTCGAGGGGCCTTGAACTTATCAACAATTCACAGCAGAGACTTATAACTTCTAAGGGGCGAAAAGGTTATCTTATGTTTTATAACCTACAACTTTGGAAGTCTTTGCTTTAGGTTATAATCCTTCAAATCTACATCCCAAGGAAGCAGTGAAAAGCTGAAACTTTCAAGCCCTTCCTGAAAACCAACATACCAGTGGTCTCTTCCTGCAATATCTTATTTTTTTTAGAAAAAGAAGAGTTCTGTACTTTCAACCCTGGAATGCAAGGAGAATTTGCAGCCAAAGAAACTGAACAGCAATTTGACACTACCTCCATATTGTCATTCCAAGCCACAAAGCACATTCTTGCTAGGAATGAAAAGTGGTACATATGAATAAATATACCATCTGAGTTTCTTACTTGCAAGGTGTAGGTAGTCAGAAGTCACTGTGCTCAACCAAAAAAACTACTGAGAACTATTTTAAGTAGTCTCTGATTTTTAGCTTCGAAACTATATTTATGCTTAGTCCACACTTGAGGGGAGAAATATTAGTCAAAAGGCCAAAACTGCACCTTCAGGGTGAACTACAGCTCACCTTCCCAGTGGAACCTGGAGAGTAAGGATAAGACCACAATCAACGGCATATTTTGAATTGCTGGTAAATTTAGTCAATAAGGAGTTTCTAATCAAGGAAGGAACAAGTCTTTGCATACTGAACGATTTTGTGATTTAAACAACCCTGGGAAGCTCCTGGGCTCATGGAACACAAATTGGCTAATGAAACTGCATTTCTGTTCTGCAGGCAGAGGATCCTATCTGATCCCTGTCCATAATACAGCTAAGTTCCTATAAAAACCATGCTGCATCATGCTCGTCCAGGTAATGGAAAACTGTGATTGGAAAGCTAAAGCAGAGAAACATGCAGCACTATGTGTGGAAAATGGATCAGGCTCCAAAATCTCTGTTAACCAGGGCACCTGGCTGGCTTGATCTCGGGGTCATGAGTTCAAGACCACGTTGGGCATAGAGATTAAGTTCAAAAAAACAAAACAAAATCTCTATCTATCTATCTATCCATCCATCTATCAGCTGACCAGCTATTCTGGAGGTAAAGAAAAACTCCAAATCAACCCACCCTCAGGTCACCAAGAGAGTATCCAGGATTGTCTGTTCCTCAGTGAAGGGAGTACTGGTAGTTTGAGTAGTAGCTGAATGTGGCACAGTGATTTTCAAGATAAAATCTTACCCCCAACATATAAACATGCTAACACTAAGAATGCTATTTGAAGAGGGAATGAAGTGGGCATGAAGGTTTCCCCACTGTCCCATCATCACATCAGGCCCCGGGCCTACTTAGAACTACAAGATGATATATATGGAAAAAGCAGCAGACTTCAATCAGAAAAATCTAGATTTAAGTCTCAGTTCTTTCTATTTATACCTGCATACTGTGCACCCAGCCACAATGTCTCAGCCTCAGTTTCCCCATCTGTAAAACGGGGATAACTGTATCAACCTCACCAGATTGTCATAGGATTAAACAAGCTAAAAATGTAAGTTGTTACAATGAAATTCTTCCTTATATGCTCAACCATATCAGATAACTTTCAAGAGTGTGAGTATCTAAATATCCTATTTTACACTTCCAGGAAATTTAAGATATAATTCCAGTCAGTAATATGATAGTCCCTATTCTTCAAACACTAAAAATTACTCCAATCTCTGAAAACAGAAGTGTGATACTTCTATAGGAGAGAACAAAAGTGCCTTGTTCAGAGTTAAATTTCATTCATTCAGGTTACCAAGATAGACCCACTATCACATAAGGACATTCGTAACAGTTATCAATCACATTTGCAAAAGAATCCAGAAGCAGTCTTCAATTTTTTTTTTCCTTAGCAGAACTCTCCAAATGAAATCTTATGCAGAAATGAACAAGTAAAACTGACTTAAAAATGTGAAGTTGCTCTTGTTGAAGTCTGAGTGGGAGTCTTAGAGCCCCCAGGGGCATGGCCCCAGTATGCTCAGAAAACCCAATATCATAGCATGATTTCTTAATGACCCAAGTGGGGGTTCTATTCTACCAGGTGGTCAGGATACTAACTCAAAAATATAGGCTGCCTGGGCTGTGTCTACATCTCCTAAGATATGGCAATCTAATATGTGAAATGCCAATCCCCTGCACTGAGGGAAAATAAAAATTCTGGATATGCTATCATGTAGCAATCCAAGGCTGTGGAATTTTTAGTTTTGTGCTTTATCCACTCCATAATCACACTCTGCCTACTAGACCAAGCACTTCTGGCTACAGTACACAAGGCCAAGGTCATGAGCATGAAGTACCTATGAGCTTATTTCTGTGCCACTCTTCTGCTAAATGAATTCCTAGTCATCTTTCAAGGCCTGGTTCAAATCTAACCACTTTTAAGAAGCATTCCCTAACTCTCCCTATGCCCCCATACCATGCACTGACTCCCCATACAGAGTATTACTTCCTTCCCTGTATTCTCTGTGCACCGACAGCACAGAATGGCGGAGAGAACACAAGCATGCATCATTCAACATTTACTGAACTTCTACTGGGTGCCAAATACTAGACAAGATAAACACTGGGGTTCACGGATATAAACCAGACATGATTTCTGCCTTCAAAGAACTTTTAATCTAGTAGTAGAGATACAGAAAAGTTTGAACATAATGTGGTAGGTAATGATACAGGCATGTAACAGGAGCTCAGAGGAGCACTTAGACCAACCTGGAAGAGGAGACCCTTGAGCTAGGCCTTGAAGAGCAGCTATAAGGATGTTGAGGGTACTCTGCACAGGAAACAGCAAGGACACCACGTGGAAGTAGGAGTATAGTCTATCTCACAAATACTATAAATAGGTGACAATTCATTCTTTCTTCCTTTTCCCCCTTTCCCTTCTTTCTCATTAAAAAAAAATAGGGGTGCCTGGATGGCTCATTTAAAGTATCTGACTTTGGGGGGCGCCTGGGTGGCTCAGTCGGTGAAGCGTCCAACTTCGGCTCGGGTCATAATCTCATGGCTTGTGGGTTCGAGCCCCGCATCGGGCTCTGTGCTGACAGCTCAGAGCCTGGAGACTGCTTTGGATTCTGTGTCTCCCCCTCTCTCTGACCCTCCCCTGCTCACACTGTCTCTCTCTCTCTCTCTCTCAGAAATAAATAAAACATTTAAAAAATTAAAAAATAAATAAATAAATAAATAAAGTGTCTGACTTCGGCTCAGGTCATGATCTCGCAGTCCGTGAGTCGGAGCCCCGTGTTGGGCTCTGTGCTGACAGCTCAGACCCTGGAGCCTGCTTTGGATTCTGTGTCCCCCACCTCCTGCCCCTCTGCCACTTGTGCTCTGTCTCATTCTCTCAAAAATAAATAAAAAAATTTTTTACGAGCACATTTCTTTTTTAAAATTAACTAATTAATTAAAAATTTAAAAAAATCTTTTAAAAGATTATAAAATGGGAGGGATACCTGGGTGGTTCAGTTGGTTGGGCGTCCGACTTCGGCTCAAGTCATGATCTCATGGCTTGCGAGTTCAAGCACTGCGTCTGGCTCTGTGCTGACAGCTCAGAGCCTCAAGACTGCTTTCGATTCTATGTCTCCCTCTCTCTCTGTCCCTCCCCTGCTCATGCTCTATCTCTCTCTCCTTCAAAAAGAGAGAGGGAGACACAGAATCTGAAACAGGCTCCAGGCTCTGAGCTGCCAGCACAGAACCTGATGCCGAGGTTCAAACTCACAAACTGCGAGATCATGACCTGAGCCGAAGTCAGACACTTAACCGACTGAGTCAACCAGGTGCCCCTAAAAATTTTTTTTAATAAAAAATAAAAGGATTATAAAATGGGAAAAGATGGATTGCAGAAAATGAGATTTGAAAGGAAGGCAGGTCTTTAAGTCTTGAATGCCAGGACAAGAAACTAATTCCACAGTGGGGAACAGGGGAGATTTCTAACATTTGCACTTTGATTGACTGTTTGTTCCATTCAATCATTCATTCTAGGGGGGGAGCAGGGAAGGGGCGGGAGGGAGGGAGAGAGGGAGGGGGAGGGGGGAGAGAGGGGGGGGGGGGGGGGGGGGGGGGGGGGGGGGGGGGAGAGAGGGAGGGAGGGAGAGGGAGGGAGAGAGAGAGAGAGAGAGAGAGAGAGAGAGAGAGAGAGAGAATCTTAAGCAGGTTTCTCAGGGCTCGATCTCAACAACTTGGGGCTCGTTATCACGATCTGTGGAATTATGACCTGGGCCGAAACCAAGAGCTGGATGCTTAATCGACTGACCTGCGTAGGCACCCCTGTACTCTTATTTTAAAAAGACCTTTGGGGTACCTTGGTGGCTCTGTCTGTTAAACGTCTGACTGTTGATTTCGGCTTAGGTCGTGATCTCATGCTTGAGATGGAATCCTGTGTTAGGCTTCGTGCTGGTGAAGCCTGTTTGGAACTCTTTGCCCTTTCTCCGTTCTCTCAAAATAAATAGATATTATAAACAAAAAAACAAAACACGAAACTTTTAAATTGCAAAAGTTAACACTGACTTAACTTTTAAAAAGTCAAATAATTCAGAATTATAAAAGTAAAAGTGAAATTTGCATTTTGAGCAGACCACAAGGGATACAAGTTTTAAGATTTGTAAGATCTTTAGGTTTATATATTTAAGAGCACTGATCAGAAAAAGGGAGGCCAGAGGTAGGCTAAGGCAACAGTTGGTTTTATTATTAAAAATAATATTTTTGAGAGAGAGAGAAAGCGAGACAGAGCACGAGTGGGGAAGGGGCAGAGAAAGGGAGACACGGAGAGGGAGGGAGGGAAGCTAGAACCAACAAGCCATGAGATCATGACCTGAGCCGAAGTCAGACGTCCAACCGACTAAGCCACCCAGGCGCCTCTATTTTTTTTTTAACTTTATTTATTTATTGAGAGAGAGAGAGAGAGCGCGCGCGCAAGAACGTGACCAGGGGAGGGGCAGAGAGAGACAGGGAGACAGAATCCCAAGCAGGCTCCACACTGTCAGCAGAGAGCCTATTGTGGGACCTGAACTCAAACTGTGAGATCATGACCTGGGCTGAAGTCAGACGCTTAACCCACTGAGCCACCCAGGTGTCCCAAGACAATAACTTAGGTGAGAGCCAATGAAGTCAACAGGGTAGTGTTGGCAGAGACAGACCTGAGAAGTTCTTTGGAAATCTTACTTTACCTCTTACCAGCTGTTGTCTCTCTAGGCAAGTTACCTTACTTTTCTGAGCCTTCATTTCTTCACCTGAAAAATGCGAATACCACCACCTACCCTCACAGGATCACTGAACAGATTACATGAGATCATCTATGTCAAGATCCTATTAAAACCTGGCATAAAATGGGCAATTAACAAATGTGACCTCCCCTCTCACCACCCTCTCCCCTTAAGAATTATTTATTTCCATCTCCTTTCGTAGATTATGAGCTCCTATAAGGCAGAGACCAGTTCTTATTATCACTGTATTCTCTCAGCATCTGGCACATAAAATATGTTCAATACATGTTTATTGGATGAAAAAAGGGTCAGTTAGCTCTACAACGTGAGGAAATCCTGGCCCTCAGATCGGTTTCCTCAAGATGGGAGTGGTCTGATCACAAGTGGGGGAGTGAGCAATGACATCCATCAACACTACCCTGGAAAAACACCTGAGAGAGAGCATAACTCCTGCTGAGTGAGAGTAAGAAGCATCATTAGCTAGATGTCCTTTGTCCTATGGAGGAGGAGCCAGTGTGTGATTGACTACCACCCATTTGGCCTTCTCAGGGTGACAGAAGCAGAAATGATGCTTTTAAGAAGCAGTGAGGCTCTCTACAACCTTCATGTGCTTCCCTGTCAGCTGCACGGCTACGACACTGCTGTCAACGTGCCTTTGTGTAAGACAGGCACAGGCAGGGTTTCGTTTCTTCGTGACGCCCCATCCGGGTTTCCCTAAGCCCTAGATCAACGGAGATGGCCTCTGGAGCTAGGAAAAGGCTTACGAATCTCAGACTCCATGCATCATACGGTCGTAGAGCTCTGTCTCCTCAGGCCCCTCTTTCAAAGGCAGGGCCTATTACTATCTGGGGGAATGCAGGCTTTCCTGACATCCCGCTGCCTTTACTAAGGGCGCTGATGCAACAGAAGGGGCGCATGTCTGAAAGAATTCATACCAAGATGTCTTTGCTAAGGAAGATCACTAATATGGCAATTTGACAGAGGTTCTTATGGGAGCTGGAGTGGCACTAAGACAAATGCAGAGCCTACCCAAGCTTTTGCCCTTCCCATACCTCAGCTTCAAACAAAGTCAGCTTGATTCAGAATGAAATCCAAACCACGCATGTACCCCACCCAAGGCAGTCTCATTCATTCTTGCCAATTAAAAAACAAAACAAAACAAAAATATCGTTGAGCTGGCTTTCCCTCAGCTCCAAAACAGACTGGGCTAGCAACCATCTTCCTGCTAGAGAAGAATGGCTCCAGCTACACTTTGTGTCATTGTGTGTTCATGCAGCTTGCAGAATTCTCAATACCCTAGAGACTGCAAAAGTAATTTGCACCCTGAACTTGGACCTGGGGGCTTGCAGCACAATTAAATGTGTACGGGGGTAGACAAGTCAGCTAGAATCTCTCTGAGTGCATGTTTGCTTTACTCCTCTTTGGGAAGAAAAGTTGGGGGAGGGGGTGTAGGGTAAAGACTATTGGCACATTTGAGGCTTCAACAAAGTCAGCTACATTGAACAGCTCGTGCAATTATGGGCACATTCCCCAACCCAAGATACTGCTCTGTGAACCTCCCACTTTACACACAGAGAATTCTGCTCTGTCATTCCATCTGCAGTTTCTGCTGCAGCCCTTCCTGCCACCCTTCCCACAGATTTCTTTTGAAGCAGGTGGAGGGGGAGGTGGAGGTGGAGGGAACCTAGAGGGTGGTGGTAGATGAAGAAAAGGTTGAGGGGAAGAATCTGTACCAAAAATGAACCTCTCTTTGGGGAGAGGGGGAGGGATACATTTTCGCATTACCTAGGGAAGGCAGATGGGGGAGAAATAGGAACACGGGAGGAGAAAGAAACTAAATAAAGAGCACCAACGACCCCTGAGGGCAAAGCACAGGCTCTCTGCGGCACTCACTCAGGCTGCCCAGCTGTCGGATGACATTTGCCAGGGTGATGTTGGTCACGCATTCCAGCTCGCTTCTAACGCTAGGCAACGTCTGACGGCACAGGTGCCTTGGCTCGATGTTCCTCGTTACTAACGGCATGGTGGACCTGCTTCAGGCAATGTTCTGAATGATGAAAAACAACCTAAAAAAGAAATAACAGGAAAGTATTACTCAACCACAAATTCCAGGCACACTAGGGCTATGTGAGTCTTTTTTTCTTTTGTCTTGTTCTGATCTAAAACAGCTTTAAAAAAAAAAATCTCTCCTCCATCATTTCTTCTTTTTTAAGCTCCCCACCCCCTCCTCAATCTTTAAGGTTTGCTATCAGAAGGCTTACTGGATAAGTTTAGATATTCTGAACTAGTGACTGCCGGCTGAATTACACAGGCAGCATAAAAACCTAAAAACCTTAAAATAACAATGATGCTCCAACCAACAAGAATCTCCAGAGGCAAGGAGGCATGGTCAGAAAACAGTCCATTCAGCAGGCTCTGGATAGTATGGACGGATCCTATCCTTGGTGTATCCATAAACAGGACAGATCAGATTCCAGATGATCAACGTTAAGGATCAAGAAAGAGCTTCTGTCATCTGATCACCTCCACAACAGAAATTAAGTTGCCAATAGCGATTCCATTGATCTACATCAAGACATAACTTCTCTAGTTCTTCCTTGATGGATGACTGTTTATGTGCAACTAAACGTTAGCTGCCAGTGTCTATTAACACTCCTAAAGTTTAGTCTGTACGTTGACAGAATTAAAGAATATCAAGGAAACTTTCACACGTTCAATATGTCAAACACGAGGCTAAAGCAAACTGTGCTATAAGGTTCCCTAGTCCTTCCTCATCTACCCACCAGCTCCTTTTCGCTCTCCTATCCGTATCCGGTTCAACACACCTGGGCCAAAAGGCTCTTGAGACAGCAGGAAGTGTCTGGAGCAGACCGGAAACCTTCCAGTTACCGTTTCTTATCCGGTCAGCTGAGCCCCTTTCCCTAGGAAATCCCCACCACTTCAGGTTCGTGCTGAGCTATTGTTTTAGAATTAGATTACCAAATTCTTAGCTTTACAAGGATAAGAGGAGATTTCAGTCTCAACAAAATGGGTATGACTACAGCCAAGGCATACTGGGCTGTTCCTGTTTCTGAAACTAAAGACACTTAAGTCAGCCTAATGATTTTCATGCTAGGGAAAATGCAAAATCACTTCAAATGAAAAGGTAAAGCATAACATACCCAAGTCCCAAGTATTGCATATTCTTCATTAAAAAAAAAAAAAGGCAAAACAGAGGTTTACTTACATCAACTCTTAAAACACCAGCTTATCACCAAAAAAAGTTGACTGTGAATACAAAAAGCTAAGTATCACAGATCTTAAAAGTGAACCAACATATTGTCTGACCAAAAGAAAAAAAAAAAACCTTCAGGCTCAAAGAGGGAGTAGAACCCTTTGGAACAGACTGCTCCTTGTTATGGACATTCTGATCTACTAAGAGTAAAAATAAAACAGGAAGCCAGCAGCTTGGGGAACAAGATTTCCTGTCACCAACAGCAACAGCCCAAGAACCAAGAGAATCAGCTGTTTGCTCATAACTCTGAACCTCCCTTTAATAGTCACTGTGTGGCAGCTGTGCCTATCTTTGGGGTGCAGAGGTGTTTCCTGAATATTTGTCTACTGTCTAAGGAAATAATTTTCATTCCATTCCTCTGCTAAATTCCCCTTTGACTCAACAGGTTTTCTAATCCAAACTCTGGACTTTCCCTTCCAGTCTAACTCCTCTTCTTTTACATGGTGCAGAGGGTTATCAGGTACTAAGATGCAATCATTAAATTAGTAACTCTGGGCGCCTGGGTGGCTTAGTCGGTTAAGCATCCGACTTTCGCTTGGGTCATGATCTCGCGTTCGTGGGTTCAAGCCCCGCGTCGGGCTCTGTGCTGACTGCCAGCTCAGAGCCTGGGGCCTATTTCGGATTCTGTGTCTCCCTCTCTCTCTGACCCTCCCCTGCTCACGCTGTCTCTCTCTCTCTCTCTCCTAGAAATAAATGAAATAAATAAATAAATAAATAAATAAAATAAATTAGTAACTCAATGGTGAAAGAGTTTAGAACAAGAAAGGAGGCAGGAGGTTGCAAATTAAAGAACTTCACAGGGCTCTGTACACCATCCTCTGGATGCTCTTAGACTCTCAAATTCCGAGCTTTCTGGAAGAATCAAAATTTGATGGTGCAGCCAGAGATGATTGAAAACAGCCACTTGTGGCTCCTTCTATTAGCAATCATTTCAGTACTTGTTCCAGCTTCTTAGGAGCTAAAGGAGCCAGATCTCCTTGAAATTGTACATCAAATGTGGCCACTGACAAGGCATTCCAGACGTTCTCTCTGGACACCTAAAGGAAACTGGATTCCAGATGGCTAGGTACACGCAGAACTGTGAGCCAGGAGGGGGTACTTCTAACAAACACCTTGGTACTTTAGAATTTGTGCTTTCCCAAGGGCCTTGAGTAAGTAGACACAAATGGATTCCATTCTATGTCATATGGGTGGGGAACCACGTTTTCAATAGCAAGATGGCTTCCTATCTCTAAAAAAAGCTGGTTGCCACAACCAGCTACGGTGTATAAAGGCCGCTTTTAGGCAAACAGGCTTGAGCAACAGAATGCAGGAAGGGCCACAGTGACCACTCGGTTCAATGCAGACAGGCCCATCAGGTGACCCACCTCAAAATATCTCCAGGCCCTAACTGACCAATGGGCTACTTACAACTAGGCACAGCTACCAAAAAAGGGAGAACTCCATATGTCCCCATACCTCCTCACCTTCCCTCTTTAGAAACAGCCTCTATACCTCATTGCAGACAGCCTCTCCCTGACTGTCCTCTCCACTGTTCCCCTACAGTGTACTCCATAAACTTCTATCTCCTTTGTTCTGCCTCAGATGAATTCTTGTCACTGCCTACAGCATCAGCTTCCATCTGATCAGTGATCTGTCATTTGGGGCCCTCATCTAATAGGGAGAGACACCCCATTTAGACACCACAGAGAGTACTCAAGAAATGATAATATGTTAATATCTATTGAGACAAAACAAAAAGAAAAGTAAATCTGTTACTAAAAAAACCCATCTAATATGTTTCAGAACCACCAAAGAGAAACAAGATTCCCTGCTATATGGAATTACCTGAATCACTGTTCATTTTCCTTTTGGATAATCAAAGTTAGTTATATTTGGCAGAAGATGTATGGAATTATGCATGATCTGAAACACAACAGAACTTCAGCAGAAAAAAAAAAAAGCCTACATTCTAGTGAAGATAAAAACTTAGAAACAGGGAAAGACTCTCAAGGCTCTTGACTCAACTCAGCTTCAAGCTGTGCCATTCAAACATACTAGGGTTAGTACCCTGACTCAGATACCTTACTAGCTGTGTGATCTTGGGCAATTTTACTCGAGATACTAAATAATGTAACATACATAAAATGTCTACTACAAGGCTAAATAAAAGGGTAGTTGTATGTGGTCCATGGACCCGAGGAAAATCTTCCTGTAAAATCAATTTTATTCACTGATAAATATTTTTAAACACTTTCAACTATAGACATATTATGTGGTAGAATGCAAAGATGAACGTAAAGATGAAACAAATGTAAAGGTGAAACCCTGGACTTAAAGAAATTTACTGAGGTTTTTTCCTCTGGAGGTTGCTCCCAGCCAGGCTTCTGGACCTCCTGAAGAACACACATTCTCTCTCTCTCCACACTTTCACACTGAGTTCCTCATCTGATCCACAGAACAAAGAAAATGATTAGAGTGACTATTTTCTCAATTCTCCTCAAGACCGTACATAGCTAGCACCATTCCAGATGCACTGGAGAAAAAGTTAATACATTATATACAATGGATGCCTAATGGCATTAGGGTTTAATTCTCTCATGGAAATCCAGTTGAGAAAGGCTTCTCTATCATCAGTAGTCATTTAATGGAAAATCTGTGGAGTACTGGGTGTAGAGAAACCACTGAATTAAGGAAGTAACATGGTCAAATTTGCATTTTAGACAAATCATTCTAACAGAAGCAAAGAAGTTATATTTGGGCAGGAGAAGGCTGGAGGTATTGAACATATCAGTTGGGGCTCTTCACAGGTTAAGAAAATGACAACAGGAATGGAGAGGCCCACTACAGCTAGCGAATATGAATGAGGACAGGTTGCAGGGGGAAGGCTGACTCTTCAGTCCTATTTGCTACTCTCTCGATAGGTTTGTACAGTTATACTCACAAAGTGGTAAGATGTATGTCTCTATTAAAAGTATCATGAAAAGAGGTAAATGCTAGTGCCAGTGACAGAAAAGAAGACAAAGTGAGGAAAACCAAGAAAGTGGTGGTACTTAGCTGCCAAAAGTTTTGGAGCCATGAAAGAGTCAATGACCTGTCTTCACAGAATCAACAAGGTTCTGGGGCACCTGAGTGGCTGAGTCAGTTAAGATTCGGACACTTTTTTTTTAATGTTTTATTTTTTTTATTTTTTTATTTTTAAATATTTTTATTTATTTCTAGGAGAGAGAGAGAGAGAGACAGTGTGAGCAGGGGAGGGTCAGAGAGAGAGGGAGATACAGACTCTGAAACAGGCTCCAGGCTCTGAGCTGGCAGTCAGCACAGAGCCCGACGTGGGGCTCGAACCCACGAACCGCGAGATCATGACCTAAGCGAAAGTCGGACGCTTAACCTACTAAGCCACCCAGGCGCCTCATGTTTTATTTTTTTTAAGAGACAGAACGCAGAGTGAGCAGGGGAGGGGAAGAGAGAGAGGGAGACATAGAATCTGAAGAAGACTCCACACTCTGAGCTGCCAGCACAGAGCCCAATGCAGGGCTCGAACTCACAAACTGCGAGGTCATGACCCGAGCCAAAGTCTGACATTTAACTGACTCAGCCATCCAGGCGCCCCAAGCCTCTGACTCTTGATTTCAGCTCAGGTTATGATCTCACGGTCCTGAGATTGAGCCCTGTGTTGGGGCTGAGCATAGAGCCTGCTTAACACTCTCCCTCTGTCCCTTTACCTTGCTCACGCACGCTCCCTCTCTCTCAAAAACAACAGGAGCAAAACAAATAAAAGAATAAAGTTCTTTTTCAGTTATATTTTACTTT